TCATTAAAAGGCTCCCCGTGATTAAATAAGGCCTCTAAATCGCTTCTTGCCATTCTTATTCTGTTTCACTTTAATGTAAAGAGATAAACCTCATCATCGAGGCTTCAGAAACACGTAAATTAAGTCATTTGCAACTATAGATTTTCAACTAAGGGGCCATCTGTCCTGGCTACTGGATAATTACAATAGATAGCAGGGAAGCGGGGATTGGTGGGGAGTACCAAGTAATCAATGCAATAATGAGGAGAGAAAGGCAAAAACTGTTACTGAACAACCGCTCGTCTCCCTTGGGGCTCAAAAGGTGACGCGATGCGAGTCCGTATGAGATGCACCTTTAGAATCTAAACTCTGTCCTCGTGCATTTCATGAAAAAGAAATGTGATACGGTTGCAAGTGCTAGTTATTAACAAGAATTCGAGCCATTTTTGAGTTAGTGGTTTTTACATGATCTGTAGGTGTTACACCGTTGCCCATAACGTAAGAGATTAGGAGTACACTCAATACGACTGGGAAATTCTTTTCTAGAATTGATGTGATACTCGTCTCGCTACTCATATATGTGACGGTGATTTATGTTGACAACATGCCTCTACCAGGTCAATGACATGCATTGGAAAAACTGTAAAATTGTTCCTACGCTATTTCTCTCGGAATTCATGCCTAAAAAGCAATATTTGGAAAGGTATAGAGTCATCACCTGCATGTCGAAAACAACCACAAAAGGGTTTTTCATCACTCTCAACTTCGAAGTCCTTTTTAGGATATTTTTGCTACAACAGTTAATGAATTTGTTTGGATATATTGCTCCATTCTGCTGATTACTTTGTAGGCGCAAAATGTTACAATTAATTATGAGTTGCTTTCAGACGGCAGCAGGGTGCTTTCGTGCAAAAACACATCACTTCCTTAACATGAAGGGGGTCGTAAGCTGAAGCACACGCAACTTCGTGGTGAATTTCCTCTTTTCATCGATATTAATAATCATCAGAACCAATCGTCGAGTCATATTCGTCAGTTATCAGTATTACAGACAAATTCGTCGAACACAAGGTCTTTGCAAGCTAACATGTCATTTGTAATCCGAGCCAGACTGTAATATGAGAATATTAGAATTTTTTATAAAATTTAGTAGGCCCACGGAACAATATAGTTGATTTCATATACCATCGCTTACATAATTACCATTTTGGTATATTGTTTGTTTACGATTAAACTTCAGTTATTTTCACATTAAAAAAAATTTTTTTGGAGGGAATTTTTCGGGTAAACACATTTATTAGTGGACAGTTGATCTCAGTTTTACTCACCCATTCCATCTTCTTCTAACTTACATTCCCGTTTCTACAACTTCTTTGTTGCAGTTCTTCATCAGTATTCTTACAGAGCGGTGAGAAACGCCGCGGTGTTCCAATATAGCTAATTTAGCACATTAGCCGTAGAGGAAATCTAAATCACGAAGAAAAAAAAATAGAGGAAAAACGATATCTTTCAAACACAGCTATGTCATTAGTTTAGTCTATTAGTCGATACGTCTTCACCATTGTACAAAAATCACTTCGCCGAAAAATGATAATTTACCCGATTTCCTCCTTTTATTACTTTCCGTATGAGCGACCGCCAGAAACGAGTTATTTTTCACGAAACACACGCTGCGCTAAAACGTAATTTGTCTTCAATTTAATACCTATCAGCGCCGATCAATTGCTATAGAGTCGATGTAATAGAAGCAAAATAGAATGAAAACAATATTTAGACGTCTGACAAGAGCTTTGTTAAAGATAGGCTAAGAAGTCGATTGCTCTCAGCGTCTCAAGAACTCAGTTGTGCTACTGAATTCTAAGTGACGGACTAATTTACTGGCTTAGATGAAGAAAAAGGAGTCACTTCCCCCGGACACAGTTCGGCAATCATCGAGGTGTGATCTCTGCGAGTCTGTCACGGCGTCACCATGGCAACGGTTTGTTGGAGGAAATGGGCAGTGGCAAAACAAGAAGACTTCCTAGCGAGCAGTTAGACGAAGATCAATGGATTTCATTATTTCTTTTGATAAACTCCGGGCTCCAAGAATACGACCTTTCGTTTATTTTTCTTAGCGCAAATACTTCTTTCTGGTGCCATTTTCGTTAAATTGTTTTTGTCGATAAATTTGAAGAATGCCAATATATTTGGACATATTGCCCCACACACCATATTTACTCGATTTTGACCATCCGCATTAAACGAATGGTGTTTAAACTTATGGTGATGATAGAGTTATAGTTGCAAGAATGGCAGCTACAAGAGTATGTCCATATAGAGTGAGACTTATACTATATATGGAAATTTCAGGAGACTTGTTTTTCTCAATTCATTTTTACTTCTCTTAACATTGGTGGTACAGACAGGCACTGGCTACAGTTTGATTGTAAGACTGTTTCTTAAAGAAACTATAGTAATATAGTTTCTTTCGGAACTTCCCTTTCCATTACGTCATTATAAGTAAAGAACAAAGTCTCGCGAGAAAAAACGAAAATTCCGACCCTTCTGTTGTGAAGCCAGTAATGAAAGATTTGACATGACAAAAGAGAATGAATAGTCAAATGGATAAATGAAAACAGAATATATTTCTTCACAGGAATTTGAAATTGAAATCCATTTGATTATTTTAAAAGGAATGGATTTTCAAAGTAAATACATTTAAAATGCACGTCATTTTGAAGCGGGCGGGGAAAAATACTAGATTTTTATTAATGACAATAAATACAAACTAATACATATTTGTCGCTAAAATACTTTCATTTTTATGCGATTTACCAGCGTTTTATGAAAAATTCACTTGGTGTTGGCCAACTGTTTATGGAGTCAGTTGTAGCAGTTACTATACTTTCCTCACCTAATTCCACGTCCTTGTATTTTGACAGATTGAGCACAGTTGTTATCAACGGGTTAATGAACTTAATACATTTCCCTTGTAAACACCGGAGAACTGACACCGTTAAAAGCATAGTCATACTGAGGCCTCTCCCACTTCCTTTTTTCTTCAAACTTAAATTCCAAATCCCACCTTTACAAAATCTAGGAAGTTATGCCGCGCCCAGGTAGCAATTCAGCGCCGTCAAACCATTCTACAAACCATATGAGGTTAGGGCGATAAAACTTACAGATACCCTTTTAAATCACGCTTATCGTTAAAGAACCGCGACGATAGGGAAGAATATACGACTCGTTACCTCCATCCGACGATAAGAATCACTGGTTGAGTCGGTGATTTATTATCAAGCGTTGAGAACTATCTAACCTCCGGCTTTTTAACAATAACAGTGTGATCTCGGGGTAATTATGATAAGGGTTGTGTTCCTTGTGACTAAATACTTTTATTTTTCTTACTGCAGACTATTTATGTCGTTACACCCTAAAATGAAGAAATCCGCCAAAGGCTGTGTCCAAGAAAGAGATGGCCTTTGACCAATCAAATGTCGAGATTTGCTCCACATCTAAATTTCTTCAAATTGCGTGTTTTCGAATCACTGTCTTAAAGCGGATTTCAGATAAGTATTGTACTTGTAAATGTTACTCATTTCAGATGCTTTGATAAAAATTAAGCGATGTTTACGTTTAAATAAATGAATAGGACATATTGAAAACTAAAGGTAAGAAGGGGCAGATTTTAGTTTTGGATGTGTCAAAGCTCCTGCCAATTTGACTGGCAGATAAAATGCTTAAAAATCAAAACGTGCAGTACAGTGGCACCACTACTGATCACCGGGAAGTCTTGTATTTCTTTGTATAAATTAACACCATAACAGAAAATAAACCTCCCATGACACGACAAATGCCAAGACATAATGTTCGAAAACAAGTCACCAGTCTCCCGTGGAACCCATGTCGCCGCAGTGGCAGATATTTGTCAGTGCTATTCCGTCTTGTACGATGACAAATGTGTTTTTTATTTGCACGAACAAAGTGGTTCGGTTTTACAGTGATCATTTTTGTTGCTGAGAGTAAGAAAATCATGTCTCGCGGGATCATTTGGCGACCTACAAGCAAAATATAGTTACCCTGTACACACTACACAATGTCGCTATACTGGCGTCTTTCTTATTAGGTGTTTGAGGCCATGACCTACGTATTAAACTGAACTACACACATTTCAAATTACTTAACTACATACGACAAAGAAAAAGATAACGACGTGGAGATTATGCTGGTGTATGGTGGTAAGCTAATTATCTTGAAGGTACTTAAAAAAAAAAGAAACACAGTGAGATATTTTTTTCAAAAAAATTGTTGGGGTTAGATTTTGGAAAATAAGAAAGACGATAATGAACATATAAAAAAATCCCGGTAATTATATATATACTTATAGATTTTGAAAAATTAAGCAAAAAAAAACAAAAAAAACACCTCAAAATCTTCTCTGCTAGGCAACCCACAAATTTGAAACGAGTTGTAGGACCAAAAAGAAAAAAATTGAACTTTCTTTTGCTGAAGGACTGGTTCGTCTAATAAATTCTCCCAGGTTCAAGTACGTAGGCACACGCTGTATCTCGTCTCCCCATCGTAGCGGACGGAGACCCGTCACGTGGTAGTGCTAATCTTAGTTTACCGGAGTGTTAACGAGCTTTTCCTAAACCAACAGCTATGAATAATAATTTCTCCACTTCCTCTGTTGACAGAATAGTCGAACTGTTATCATCGTTGAATCTGTATTTGACAACTCGCGCCGCCCCTCCCCAGCGATAGCACTGAAGGGCTGCCGTGTCGTCCATCCGGTCGAAATAAACCAATGAAAACGCAGAAGCAGCTCAGTCACCCGCTAATGACTTAATGCGCTGCTTTACTCACTTGTTAGGAACGCGCGACCCGGGCCTCGACTACTTCTAATGTTTTATCCAAACGTGGGTGAGTACAGGCAGCATCCCTCGTCAGGATCTAATGGCGTAAGGATGTTATAAAGGTGCCCCTAGTATGGATAGTAAAAAACCAGCTGGTGATGGAATCGCGGCGGAGTTGATTATGTCTTTATTACAGTGTATCACTTGTCGAGTGGTGTTAAACATCGACGAGAGAGCGCGGTGGAAGGACATATGATGCCGATGAAAATTTACCACTTAGCCTTGACAGACGCGTAAAGTACCGGGGTAATTCTGTGTAAGCTGCATAGTGGAACACCGACCCAGTGAGCTGTGGACAAACACGAGTGCAACTGCGCTGAGAAAGCTTAGGGGTCGAACTGAGCACGGAATCTCACGTGGAACTGCAGATTTCAGCCCCAGTTGAAATATACAAGAAAAAAGTGTCAACATTTATTAAGCCATTACACATATCAATCGGCACCAGAAAAAAGCAGGGGATTTGGTGAAAATATAGCAGAACTCGGTCACAATGAGTAGTCCGTCGAAGTATGACATAAAAGCTCTGGTGGCGACAAGTAAGACGACAGGTTTAGCTGACACGGGGAATGATACAGGTGAAGAAAAACAAGAGGAACGAAACAGAAAAAGACCCCGGTCTGTGTCACCGGCGTTATCATCCCCGACGGCCTCAGAAGCTGACTCGCCAGCATCAAATATTTCAAAGAGAGTGGAGGAGGCACAGAGTGAGAAAAAGAAACGAAAAGACAGTACTGAGGAGGGGGAGGCTAAAAGCAATGCCCCTGTCAGTGTTACACCGCCCTCCGCGCGTCCAAGCTTTTTGATCACAGACATCCTAAGTGACAGACATCCCGTGAGAGCACCTAGGCCGTCACCCCCGTGTATAAGTGTGTCCATTCCTTCTTCTTTAGACTTTTCCATGAAAAACGTGTCCCCTACTTCCTCAGTCGGGAGCCTGGGGTCCATGTCAACGCTACGAAGCGACCTTACACGAGACAAGAAATATAACAAACTTAAAACCTCTTGGAGCGACAAGATTTCACGATCTAAAGAAATTGACGTTTTAAATAACGAAGATGACGAGGAAGATGATGAGGAGTATGATGACGATTGTGAAGGTAAGATATAGGCCCCCTATCAGAGGTTTTGCGATACAGGTTTTGAATGGCTTAAATAAAAATGACACAAATTTTCAGAGTGTGATCGAGGTGTATTAGGTGTGGATTGTGATGAATCACAACGTTGATATTACTCAATATGTGTTAAGATTTCCAAATAGAAAGGCAGCATATTTAATTCCCATTTTAAAATAACCTAATACATTAAACATTAAAATAAGGCAATGCGTCTTATCCCCTTCCCCCTAAAATTACTTTCGGGGGCTTATTTCTCGGCGGACCAAAGTTGATTAGTAATAAACGTGTTTATTGTCAGTAAAATTTTGGATTCACAAAGTCAATTGTACAGCATAATACAATGAAGGGGACCCTTTTGAATCCAACCTAACACAAAAATAAACCCCCATACACCTGCTATGTGGACAGTACATTAAGAGAGATGATGCGATGAGGCATGGCCCGAGGCTGGATCGAGGGGCTAGATTTTTTAACTTTTTGTTTCTCGACAAAAAGAAGCAATTTTGTGTATTTAGCGTGCTTCACCTGACATAGGCGTTGAAAGGTTTATGGGAATTTTTGTGATTCTTTTGAACCTCCTCAACTTGGATAGCGCCCCGAGGATAAACAATTTTGCTAATTCCGCGACATTTATGATTATCATTTGAACAGAGCTGACGCGCCTCATAATGGTTACAATGCGAATAAAACAGGTTCATCTTTGTTCAAGCTTTATTGAAATGCAAATTGAGAAAATATCTGTAAAGCAGCCTTCAGAAACGAAGATAAAAGTCATCTCATTCGCGTGCTGCTCAAGGGGGGGCGTATTGTTTTAGAGCCGTAGTTAACATCAGAACACCTTTCCAAGTGATTTGCGGAGAAAAAGGAGTAATTTGCAAAGACTTAAGGCTCGTCGAACCGCCGTTTTAATGGAGACAGCGGTGCCTAGTCCCTTAAATAACTGACAGGTTTTTAACATAACGGTCTTTTATCATGAACTATGTAGGATAAATGACCTATAAACCAGAGAACGCTTTTACCTCTGCGTGATGGCTCGTTGGCATTAAAATATTTTCTCCATTCATGTAAACGTTCTCATGATATAATTTTAAAGAACCATTTTTAATTCCTGTAGAATCTTAGATAAAAATATTTAAAATATTATATATTATATTTCATATCTAATAGATAATTTAAATTCGAGTACCATAAACAAACTTTGAGTAATTATTATTTTCATTCATTCATACACAAATAAAAACAACTGAAGTAACATTTTACGCTTGGCTTGGACCGACCACGGATTAACTGTCATATGCGGGAAAACAAAAAAATTACCATAGGGGTAAAACAATCAGAATAGGGGATTTTACCCAATAAATTATATATATAACCCAGAGTTGAATCGTTGTGATATCACCCCCGGACCTCCCGTGTACCAACATATTAGGCCAGATTAGTAATTTTCGTGTCAACCCAAATTGCTTTTGTTTGAAATTGACACTGGGAATCGACAATTTTGGTTCATAATTAGCTATACCCGTAAAACAATTGCCGGAAATGCCAGGCGTTACGTTTAATCGACGTAAAACGAGCTAAGAAATAATAGTGACATGCGAAACGTTGGACAAAACGTCCAGGACAAAATATATCTTCTTATTGGACTTAGTCACAGGTATCAATAGTATATAATAACAGGTTCATTCGTGAACAATCGGGCTGGCACCCATATGAGAAAAGGATGTGGCCGGCACCTATTGTGAGCTAAAACGTCCACCCCTACACTTAACCGGTAATTTGCAAAATCTCCTTTTGTTGTGAGAAGTGGCAATTTAATGGCGAATTTGGCGTTTTGTTCATACATTTTCAGCATTTTCTGCTAACTGAAAACACGGTCACTGTTGCTCCTGAACACTGCTGTGACATAGCTGACTTCCGTATCGTATGAGTTAGCTGAATTCTACGGGGGGTGAAATTGACAACGGGCGCCAGTTAATTGGAAATTGTTCTGAAAAGTGCGGAGCTGCCAATTTTAAAATGTTAATACCCAATATCAATACTTCTTTTCCAAACATGGGGGTACTGACAGTTGCTGACAAAAATACGGGAGACAGGGTGTGAAATTGAGTTATATCAATTATCAATCGGGAAACAAGGCATAATGGACGGGACCATTTTCGTTAACAGTGGCTGTTGTTTTTTTACGCTTGCCACGTATGAGATATTTCAAGGAAAACATTTTATATGCACTCCTCAAATGATGTTTAGACACAAAAAAATATGATGTCTTTAATTATTCAAATATATTGGACAGGTATAGGCATAACATTTAAGAGGAAAACCTTCCCACGGTCTTTTCATTAAAAAAAAAAAGAAACCAAAAAGTGCAGATACGCTGAAGGATATGCTGGCTCTTAGAATATATTGTCGTTTGTCGTTATAAGGATGCGGGCTATCGGGTTCCATTTAGGTACACAAAAATAGATAGATTCTCCACACCGTTGACATCTTTTGTGTTCATTTTGTATAAAAGACAATGCATTAGTAGCGTTCCGCTTTTTCGGTCGCTTTCGCAACGTGTGAAACTGTTCTCATTCCATGGAAAATATTACACACTTGCTAGTACGCAACTGTTTCGCTAATTATTGTCGCGAATATTCCATAGCTTCGTTGAATTTCTTTGTGGCTTTTTTAACAACGAGACAAAAGGTTCGACAAAGGACGTTATCATCTTAGATAATTGTAGAATAAATCGGATGAAATTAAAAGAAAGAAAAATTTAAATGGCATTAGTTCCACTGTCTTGTTGGCGTAAGCGTTCACTTTCGTGTCGCAGGCGGCAGTGAACAAAAAAACGCTTGCGTTTAAATGGGTTATTAGCAGCATTTAGCAGGGCTAAATAGCTTAAAAGGAAAAATTAAAGCATTTAAAGAAAATTGACTATTTTTTCCCTTTGTGTTTGTAACGTACTGGCTTGATATTTTCCTTGTTCAACTTGCGAAGGCGAAAGCGACCGACAAATTATCGTCATTTTCTAACATATGCTGCACTTTTCCCTTCCCATTTAATGCATACAGAATTATGAGAAAAAACATCCTGTGTTTTTCAGTTTAATGTATTCGTGGGAGATTGAAATGTTTTTGTTTTTGAAAGAATTTATTTCAAATATTGTAAATTCACATGTGTTTGGTGAATTCAAATGTATGGCACATGTTCATCAGCTGTGCGTGAAATTCGTTCGTTTTACCGTGACAAACGGGCCTGGGCAACCTCATGGACTCTTTCTGATTACCAGAACAATTTTCTCCGTCTAATTTATCAAGTGTCGTAAGAACGTTATGTGCATAGAAAGTACTGAAATTCGATATGCCAAAACAATTGGATAAATTATTCATATAATTGCTCCCCCTGTCCAAGCCATACGCCTGGTAAATTGACGCTTTTGTTCCAGAGTTTAAGGGAAAGGGAAAAAAGTCATTATGACAATCACGTGGTCCATTGTGTTTTGCCGCTTTTTCTTCACCATTAAACAGAAAACCAAAAGCTTCAATATCCAGAGTAAAAGCGAACGCATTTTACCACTTTTTGTTTAAATTGCGAACAACTTGAATTAGTTGCAATTCTTCGAATATTTAGAGCAATATTTAAGTGTATGTTAAAGCTTAGTTTGTTATTGATGCGTTGGTATGATGGTTTAATTTGATGTTTACAATGGCAGTGGTGCTTTATTATTATTATTATTATTATTATTATTATTATTATTATTATTATTATTTTCGTGAATCTAGAAAATTTGTGAGTTGAAATCTCCACTTACTTTTTTGCTGTGATACGATAATAAAGCCTTGGGGTCATTGATTGTTTCATGGTAACTAACTGTTTGTTCTGTTTAAAATCCATTCGTTTATAGTGTTACAAAACATGTATTTGTACTTATTTCCTATAAATTTGTTGAACCGTCACTGGTACCGCAGTGATGTACGCCAAGAAGGATTTTTTGGATATTTTTGCCGGACAGGAATTGACTACTGTCGCTGTGTCGCGTTGTTCTTCTTTCGAATAATAATCTCCTCTCTTCAAAAATAATAAATAAATAAATAAATAAATAAATAAATAATGAAATAATAAACAGTCGAAAATACTGACTGACAACTTACTAATAGCGGCATAAACACCTCTTACTCATAACGGTGCGTTAAAAGTGTACAGCTTCCTTTTACTCTTGACCACCGCAAACACTTAGGACATTACAGTGAATCAGTCAAATGTCTTAAAGTCAAACTGGCTTTTGATTTAAGGACACGATAATTTGTTTGCTGATGGTGTGTAATATATGAGTGGTTTTGCCTGCCAAACGGTCCGACCACAACAATCCAGTAGTCATGCGAAGTACCGGTTTTGTTAAACTGTCAACAAAATATTCAGCGACAGGGAATTTCCATCTCCCGCTTAAAATCCAAAATTGTTTAGGATTTTAAAAAATTATTTGATATCATTTGATTGGGTTTTCAGGCCTTGGTTTTCTGATCTTACCCAGATGCAAAACTCATTCAATAATTCAGAAGATGAGAGAATTGTTTCTTTTTTTATTTCAGTAATTAATTCACTTGTTTTTATTTCCTGGTGGAAGCGTTCAAAATGATAATGCAATACATGGATATAGGAGGGGGACAAACGATTGGGAAAACATTAATGTTTTCATTAAAAAATATTGAAGATGTATAACCACTTCGTCTTGAAATGTCAGATTGCGTGAGGGTACCCAATATGAATCATTCTTAAATACAGGTTACGATTTCACCGCAAGGTGGCAGCTCGACGGATGGTCTACATGAAATCATCCGCCATAATAGCATGTATGTTATCATACATAGTTCACTTTGTTATATATGAGGACAAATTACACGGTTTAGGCTAACGTAGGAAGTTGGTGTTTATATACCTGTAATTATCTGCGCACCTGCCTGTGGGGAAGTTATATGAAAGGACGTCATTTTATGAATTGCATTGATGGTAAATCTTACGGTCTTAAATATTTTCCGATCGTGACTGAAGTGTCAGGCTTATCTCACTAGACGTAGACGTGTAATTGTGGTTCGCGAGGGATGGTTTTAAAATTAATTAATCACACTTATTTTGTTTGTAATAATGCCTCACGCATTTGTTGTAAATACTGTCAAATACATGTAAATAAATTGAGAAAACCGTTTCATGTTTAAAGGATATGCATCATACAGATGCGCCAACATATTGTCAGTAACACAATGATGGATTTGAGATTTATTCATAGACCCCCCTCAAAAAATAAATAATAAATAAATAAAAAAGGGGGACGCAGCTGCAACAAGCACATGATGGCAATCATTTATGGACAGTTTGATCGAAATTCATGATAAAGCCTTACAAGGCCTTCGAACAGAGCGCGTACAAATGACAAACAAATATATTGTAATTGTCTAATGGCAGTATAACGCAGACGACATAAAATACACCGATTTTTACAGCACCTGACATATTTAGGGCGTGACGCGACTTCTCACATGTTGTTGCACCCCAGGCAGAGAGAAACGCCATTGAAAACATTCACGCCTTGTCGAGATTCAGCAAAGTGAACTATTTGCCTCACACAAAAGAGGTTAAATTCTCATCTGTTACAGAAGACAGATAGTTTTAAAAAACTTTTTGAAACTCTAAACGGCTGCCGTTGCTGTAGGTTATACACGTTTCAGTTAATATTTGTTGGGTTGAAATATTGGAGCAGATGTGTGTGTGTGTGTGTGTGTGTGTGTGTGTGTGTGTGTGTGAGAGAGAGAGAGAGAGAGAGAGAGAGAGAGAGAGAGAGAGAGAGATTGATTTCTGGAATGTAATATATTTACATAAATCCAATGAGTTAAATTCAATAAAAATATTACAATGATAATAATTACGTTTGCGTCGGTGGCATTTTTACTACCAGAAATGATCAAACTTCAAGCGGTAATTAGTCAACCAACAGGATTGGATAATATTCTAGCTACAATTTAACAAATCCCTTGATTATTTCCAGATAAAAGTGACGACGAAAAATGTCACCTCAACAGTGATGGCAGCCCGGCCGACGCCTCCCAGAAGCCAAAGAAACCTCGCAAAGCTCGCACCGCCTTCACCGACCACCAGCTCAACTGCCTGGAGAGGAGCTTTGAGAGGCAGAAGTACCTCAGCGTCCAAGACCGAATGGAGCTAGCAGCGCAGCTTAATCTCACCGACACACAAGTTAAGACGTGGTACCAAAACAGAAGGTGCGTGATCAAACAAGCAAACAAATAAATAAATAAACATAAACATATAAATAAAGGAAATAAGCTGATAAATGAATGAATTAATTTGAGAAATAAGCTGACAAATGAATAAAAACTCAAATGATATTTAAAAGAAAAAAATTCAAATAAAGAACACCAATTCACATTATAAGTGACTCAAATCCCTAGGACGGAATATATGAGTAAAAAATTAAAAAGTAGTCGTATTCAAGAAGGTATGCGGCTGATGAAAAAGATAAAGATCTCACATGCGCGTTTCGCAGTCCTCTGCATACCGAGTTATGAGACTAATTGATTTTGGTTTTTTTATTCATTCCAGAACGAAATGGAAGCGCCAGACAGCTGTTGGACTAGAACTACTTGCAGAAGCTGGAAATTACGCCGCGGTTCAAAGAATGCTGCAATCTAATCCTTATTGGGCCGCGTACACCCCTCACATCATCCGCGGGATGGATGCCGTGTATCTACGTCATCCGGCTGCTGCGGGACTAAACTCATCTCTAATACCCCGGATGTACGTCCCAGGACTCTCCCCACTTACTGCCACTTCTACTTCTCCACTGTACGGTGAAAACAGATCATAAAGAAAAAATGAAAATAGATGAACATATGCTCCTTTTTATTTCGATTCTTTTAAACGATTATGATATTGACAAAATTTGCAGATAAACATAGACATCTACCATTAAATTATTGAACAGCCTAATGAACTGTCTTAAAATCTTTAAGAGTCAGAAGGCAGAAAAATATATTAGAGGAGACACAGACTCTTTTCCCTACCTTGACCAGACTTCGTTTGACGCTGTGAAAATGATCTCATTTATTATTTGAATAATACAAACACTATCAGCCTTTCCAAAGATGCATTCGCAGCCGCGTTGAATTTTTTAAATAGCTAGCTACTAAAGAGTACAATTTGTTAAAATAACTTCACAAGCCAATAGAACTGGTTTTTTTTTAAAAAAAAAGCTAATGTGATAATAATGTTATAATTTTACAGTGTGAAACTGTTGGTTCTTATCATATAGACCTCTTCAACTTGTCCTCTTCAACTTACTTGCTTTTGATTTTTAAAACTTTCAAATCTGGAAGTTTATATCTGGAAGCTTTATTTTGTTGTTTTGACAGATATTGTAATTATTTATTGTATAATTTAAACTGTAAAAGACAGAAAAATGTTACATTGTATTTGTCCAGTACGTTACATACTGGTGCAATATGCCATACGTTTTGATGTTTAACTGTGAATAGTATGAGGCCTCTTTAGCATAGATGATAGAGCACGGTATGGGGTTACAGATTTTTTTTGTACCGATTTAAGATATCGTAAGCATGCCGGCGCCTGCGCAAGACGGGTACTTCTAAACTGTTCGCTACTGGTGCACCAACTTACAGTTGAGGGCTTAATCTTAATGATCAAAGGATGGAAAGCTTTATTTTGAATGTCAATCATTTGTATGTTAATATGTACATTGATATTATTGATATTATTTATATATATACTCAAGTTGAGATTTTGTACAAAAGCTAGCCACTAGCGTTTTTGTTGTTGTTTGTTTTATGTTCTGTAAATAAAATTCATATGGATATTATACAAGGCTTTTGTTGTTTGGAATTAGGCAAAAATGGTCGTTTTCAAATTTGCAAAGAAGCGATTACAGTACAAATATTCATTGGAAATCGCAGTAGTATTAACATTAATTAATATTACACAAAACGCAGTTCTAAAAAATTGTTACAATGACCACGAATATCATTGATGCCAATAAACTCACAATCAATGATAAAAATCGAGTATTGAATTCTGTCATGTAAATGAACCATCACTCAACCTATATGATTTACTCGAAATATTTTGATGTGTTGAAATATAATAAATGGTCGTTCCACATTTAAAAAAAAAATTTGAGTGTCGTCAGGGACGCAAACATTTTGTTTGAAATTGCATTATTTTGACTTGTCTCATTATTTTCGCTGTTTTAAACTAAAGTTGCCTCCAATAGGGAAAGAAATCAACAGAAATTATAAAGTGGTATAAAACAGTTACAAAATTATTACACAAAATGTGCTTCACTGGCAAGAGTCAAATGATCACTTTTTTGTGGAATGACCCAGGAAACATTTTGACCACTCTTACATTACGTTATTGAACAATAAAGATTTTTTGCATTTTTTCTGAGCATATAAAAAATATACATGAATACGTATGAAATTGCCATCTCTCCCCATCTGATTATAGATATAAGGACAAAGTAATTCCAGTGTCTCTTTCATCTACATGCATAAATAGTCGCGGCCTCAGTCCTATTTGATGATATATTAACCTCAGTGGAAGTAACATAACCAAATAAAGAACGAAATACATATCCGTCTGTTACATGTGTGCTGCATAGTTAAAAAGTCGCGGCATATCTATTCAATTAAGAATGTTATTAACGTCACCGCCACGCGTTAAACCACCACAGACAGTGCCGCCATTAAGTCCGCGTAATAAGCACGAGATATACTGCTTGTAAGCGCATCAATCTGGCCTCTTGAAAGAGCTTCATCTGTTACCTTGGGGTTGTTATCGGTTGGGATTTTGGGTATAGACAAAGTGGAACATGAGGTTTAGGTTTCGATTGGTTATAAATTGATGATGCGAAGCGATGTGCTGTCTTTTGCATTCGAATATTGGATCATATTTTTTACAAAGTATATCCGCTAAAACGAGAAATTTTAGCATTGTTGTTGAAAAATCTTTTAAATTAATAACGTGTTTCTAATACATGACACTGAAGAAATCAAAAGTATTGAATTGACTGCGAATGTATATATATCATCACAGACGGTGGTTGTTATTATATATATATATATATATATATATATATATATATATATATATATATATATATATATATAATTTTATACATCTGTAAACGTTATTTTTCTACTACCGCTGCCGGCCAAATGCAATACTGTCCTTGTCCTTGTAATTCCGCTGTTCGACTTTTAGAGACAAATTAATCATTTGTAACAGTTGAATAAAAGATTAAATAGGTTCATTCCGACTCGGTGACTCTATGTAATTCAAAGAAAAATCAATCCAACAAAGAAATAACTGCGTTTTTTCTCGAAATGAATTTGAGACAAAAGTAATGTTAGGGATTAAACGGCATTAAATGAAAACATCGAGTCGATGCAACAATATCTTCTAGGTCAATACATGGCCATACGGGTGGTTTGGGAAACCACGGGTAATAGTCCCAAGGGAAAAAATGATTGGTTCGACTTTCAAGCTACATTTCCCCTTCGTCTCCTAGTCTAATTGCAAAATGGACTTGTAAACGGAACGGTTAGATTCCCAAATGCTTTCGGGAGGAGGAAATTACAACCTTTTAAAGGACTCGAAGGAAGGTGCGTTCTATTTTTATCACGCTCACGAATGCGAGGGGCTGCCATTGAGATCTTGCTTGTAAGGTTTTGCTGAACGCACTTTATTTACATAAACAACTTTTTAAATTGTTTCTGGTCCTAAATGTTTATTTATTGCATGATTATTACCATTTTGACATTTATGTTTAGATTTTACTTACAAGCAATTCCGTGTATGTATAATGTCGACCGACTATAGTATAATTGCTATATGTCTTTAACATCTTTAAATGTATTCTGTACACTGTTTTCGGGCTCAAGTGTGTTCGAACATGTTTATCAGAGTGAAGGTTTCTCAATGTAAAAATGACACTTTCGGCAAAGCGTAGGTGTTTCTGACATTTAAAACGTTACATAATAGAACAGATAAATGCCTGAATATCAGTAAAATCTACCACGTTTTGAGCTGCAGAAAGGTTTGATATAAATATCTCTCTGAAAAGAATTAAAATCTAGAAATCACTGACATTTTTCTATCCTATCACAAAAATCTACCACAGGCACATTATTTCTTATCTCTCAAAGAACCCTTCATCCACTTACGAGTACAGTTAGCTTAAAGGTAATTAAAAAAAGTACAATTATATTTATCTAGAACATCTCAAGTAGGATTTGTTTCTGTGTATTTGTTAAGCCGTGTTCAAGTACCGTTCCGATCTTCCTCTTAGAGACGGTCTCCAGTAGTCGAAGCCTACAGAATAGCGGTCTTCTCCGTAGGGACAGAGTTGATTTTATTATCAACCCTTAGTTAAACTAAAAGCATGTGTTTTCTCAATCGTTTCAAGACGTCAGCAGCAATAAATCACGTTAGGAGCGGTGATTGATAATTTGCCTTATAGGATATCCCACTATTGGTGATCTTAATTACGAGTTAACAAGGTTTGTCGTACTAATGCACAAGATAATGCGCTGTAAATTGCGTATAGATTGACAAATAAGCGAAGTGATTTACCATGATAAAAAGAGGAAATTGTCCCAGGAAATCTAGGTGCATATCCGATTCAAATACAGATCCAATTTGTATGACTTAACTTCAGTTGTTGATCGTTAAGTGAGTGCTCTTCAATATTCTTTTTAAAACGAAACCAACCACACAATCTAAAGACGAAAAGGCGACAGGAAACCAGTTGCAAACTATTTTGGAATCTTAACTTCCAGCTTGCTACATTTCATACACTACCTTTAGTATTGCCAAGCGTATGCTGTTACAGCTGTGTTTAGGGCTAATGGAATTGTCACTGAATACAGATAAACCGACTTAAAACGAATACGTTAGAACATTTAAATGGCTTATACTCAAACCACAATAATCGTTATAAGAACGAAGTGAGACTCACGTATCAAAAATCAATTTTCTCTCTCACCTTAGTCAAAGGCATTATAAGAATTCTAAAAACGAATGCATGGGTAAAGAGTGAGATAGATAGATAGATAGATAGATAGATAAATGAAGGAATAAGAAAAAATTACACTAACAAAACGGTGAGTGAATTGGAAAAGAAACGCAAACAGGCAAAAAATGAAGNAAATAAATAAATAAATAAATAAATAAATAAAATGAACAGACAAACAAATAAATAAATAAATAAATAAATAAATAAATAAATAATACGAATATGTGTCACGAACATTATGAACAGCACCACCATAATTTACTAGGAGTTGCGTGGTCTTCTTGGTCGCTCTATCTTATTTATTCAATGAAAGGCCAAGAGTTTAAATAGTCAGTAAGTATTTGTTTAATATAACATAAAGATTTTATCTTCAATTTTATGTCAACAACCTCTAAGTTGAACGTTGGAAAAACGCCATATATGAAAAACTTTCTCCCAATATATATATATATATATATATATATATATATATATATATATATATATATATATATATATATATATATATATATATCTTAATTATAATATACGGTGATTCTGTCTAATAGTTTTTTTCCTGCTAAAATCAGTAAGTACGAAATAACTTTTTTAAACTCTCTTTGTGTTACTGATAAATTATTTACTCTTGCCATTTTGTTTTACAGATTCTTTATCAATCAGAAAAAAGCCATGGAAGTCTTATTTTAGCTTAGTTAAGAAAATCACTTTTAATCTTGAAGGAAATAGAATTTATTTCTAGCCACACACACCCTTGGATTACACATTGCTATCTTTAATTTACTTCAACAAATCACACGGAGAAAACATTTTGTTCAATTAACACCGCCTACCTTGCAGAGCCCAGGAGGTCTTTGTTGTTTTTCTAAAATTATACTTCGAAATGCCCACGCATATTTCACATACTATACTTCAAATTATTTGCAAAGTTGTTGATTTCAACAGAGTTAGTAGAACAGCGACACGTACACATGTACCTTTAACGCGCTAATAAATCCTGCCTACGATACATACTAACTTATAAGTATATTGTCTTACATATGGTCAATGCACATAAAAGTTATTTAAAATTGAGAGTAAAATATTTAGGAAAAATCTCAATACCTCAAACGCCGAGTCCCTTTTAATTCCACACTGGTAACATGTAGTTGAAAACACATCGACCTAAATTTGGAATTTGATTGACAACGCATTCCATTTTTTTTTGAAAAGATATATAACACTTATCTTAATCTGGGACAACTTCTTTTAGCACGCAGTCTACAATGCTGTGCTATTTTAGACAGTCCCATTCGGGCTATCAACACATCACTCCGCCACAGGTCACAGGATCACATATATAAAGAAATATCAGATGTGCCCTAATTATGATGAACTCTGGAATTCACTCAGAAACACTAGGTCACATACGAGGGGAATAGTTAAGGCCGACCGGTCAATGAAAGTCACAATCACACACAGCAGTTACGCGTTGAAAATGCGTTTGCGATGATGTAGATGAACACATCGAAAAGATGTGCACAATCATTGCTGCTGAAGCAGTTTGTAATGCTTTAAAGCGATAGAGGGTAGTCTGGTGAATAATTGTTTAAAGCATGGACATAATGAGTTATGTCCATGTTTAAAGGGAATAGAGTGAATATCTGATGCAAAAATACTCCCTGGACAAGTTTTATCGTACATCCAACACAATGCTATTAATCATCTATGTTCACGTTATCTTTTAATTCATAACAAGAAAATCAAACTTTTTCAAGTGCATTAGAAGGATGTTTTGGAATACTGACGGTAAGTCATTGCCGGTTTTCATTTGCGGGCGGTATATATCTGAAATAATGTCGTTTTTTTACAATTAATTAAGTTTAAAGGCATTTACAGATGTAAGTTTACGGTACATTTTTGTCACTTAACGCTAATCAATCAATCAATCAATGAATCAATCCATTAATCAAGAGTCTTATTTTATTTTGATACACACAATTCCCCCTACATAACGGTCTCACTTCTGAATTTAAATAGTTTCATTATAACGAAAGTTCCCCAAACAAAAGTTCTAAATTAACAGTAAAGAAAAATGATACTACTTCTAATTGCTGTACTTTCATTTTCTCAAACGTATCTCTCTGAGTTACAAAACTCTTTCATTTTACAGGCTAAGGTAGAGGCGGCCCAACTCGGTCAATTGGCCATTGGTGTCGATGAGACTGATGGTTGGGCATAGAAAGCTTCCCAGACAGCTTTGAAGACGGTGTGCAAACCAAGCGTACCTGTAGATGAAAGAAGACTTCTCCAACATGGGAATGGCCGCGCGCATGAAATTCTTGATTGGCGTAGCATCGTATCTGGTCCAAGGGCACGAGAATTCTGTCACCCAGAGTGGTTTTTTCACCTGATTATAGACGGCGCCAAGGAAGCCCAAGAGGTCGTAGGCGTTGCAGGTATAGTGATGGGTGGCGACGTAATCGATGCGGCAGCCGCCCAGCTGGTTGCAGCGCGCGAAGAATCTCGTGAACCATGTTGAGAATTGCATGTTGCATGTGCTTTTGTCGTTTGTGTCGCAGGGCGCGGCGGCAGGGCTGACCATCTTGACATTGGCGGGGACGTTTTTCTGAAGTTGAACCCATTTCTCTGCTGCCAACTCCGGGCTGATGTTGGATTGGGCTCTGAAGTTCGGCTCGTTAAACCCTGGGGAAGAATTATGAAAGTTTGAAATACTTATTTTTATCAACTTGCGGTACATTTACCGGATCAGTTCTTATTATTGATAGTTACACATTCTGGAATGACAAATTGGTAAACACATTACCGGTACGTGGGGCTCACGTGATGTCGTAACAAAGTGATAGTCACGTGGCTCCCACGTTGTTTCTGCTGAGTGCATGTGACTTTCTGTACAAAGTGCTGCAAATTCATTATATCCTAGCTTTTTTACATTTCTCAGAAAATCTCTAATAGTTAATAGACTTGAATACACGTGCACAAAAAGAGCGTAGACCACGAGTTCAACGCATTGTTGCTCATTGATAATATGGTGAATCCAATAAGTTTTGGTGTTAGGATTTTCCTCTTAGGGACCATTACCACAGATATTTGGATCGATCTATCTCCCTGGGAGTCTCACTAAATTGCTATCAAGCCTACCGGCTTAAATGTCAGTCACGCCTAGTAAAGCTGTTAGGGGGTAATTATCTTTACCCCCTAGCTGATTTGGTAGGTATGACAGACATTTAAGCCGGTTAAGTTGACAGTATTTAGTGAGACTCCACATGGCCATGTCTTACCCAGCAAGTATTTGTTTCCTCTGATGTTAGTTATCATTGGCACGTGAGCCAGGTTCCACAACATGGGTACGTATTCCAAGCTGTCGTCTGTAGTACACTGGTCTTTGCCGCTTACCCGCCAATCATACCTAGATTAAATTAAATTAAGTTAAATTAAATATTAAAATATAAGATTAAATATGAATACATATGGGGAAATTGCAATAATATTGATATATAACTAGATAGAAATTAAGCATTTAGAGAGCGTAGACCTCCGCAAAGGGACCTCAATTACCATTATTGGTAACTTAACTGATGAATGAAATATCAACCAAATCCTATCGATTCCAAGTTAGCCCACTTCCGATCTCTTCTGAAAATGTCATCAAAACCCATCCATAAGTTTTTAACTTAGGCTACTAACCTCAAGATGGCCATGACGTGTTATTTATTAAGGGAGGTAGGGGAGGGGAAAGAGCATTGGAGAAAAGCAAAATATAAAATACTTGACGAGGAGATGCTGTATCCCATTTAGCTTGTTGAACTATTTATTAATTCTTCTTCTTATTATTTTTATTTTTATTTTTTTTTTTGGGGGGGGGGGGGATGGGGGTCAAAGGGAGAGAAAAGGGTATCGAAAAGTGGAAGAGTCACGGTGGTTTTTCTGTTTCCAGTATTTCACGTATCACTACATTAGTTTGAACATGCGGCTCATCGATTCGACTTTATCAGAGCTCAGCATTTGCCAGAGTGTTCATTTCACCAACAATATTATTTTTGTCAGCAGGCAATTTCAACTTGTAGTTTAAGGAAAATTAACAACTATGAAAAAGATGAAAAAACAGTGCGGTATAAATTTGAAATTATATTTAACCGGAACTGCCCATTCGCAAACTTTATACAGTATATTCTTTAAACGCAATGTAGAATCAACTAGCCCCACTAAGGAAGTATTTGTCTGTGGATATCACCAGGGAGACGGAATGAAATGACACCATTCGACAGAAATGTTCAAGATAGAAATTTTACATCCGCGTTCGTCACTATTTATGTTTTCTTCCTAGCAGTGAAATCCTCAAATAGAGAATTCAGGATTGTGCTTTACTTTGTTGAAGTTCTAGTTGTTTTTATTACTACATGTAAATTTTTTTTTTTTTTGGTAGATACCGTCTGGATGTTTTTGTTAGGTACCGTCTTTAAACAGCCACTTACCACCAAGCCAGTTTCCCAACAAAAGGAGTGAAATCCCTGCATTTGAGATCCTGCCATCCAAAACCGAGTCCCTTCTTGTAAGACACACCGGTTACTGCAGCAACTGCGATGGCCAAGAATAGCAGCGTCCACCCGAGCTTTTCTGTCATTTCTTTATTTAAATGAAGAATGCGGTGAAAAAAAAAACATGAAGCATGCAACATTTGCCAAGAAAAACACGATTTTTGAAACTGAAAAAAACAAACAAAAAAAAAAAAAATGGTAGAATTTTCAGGATGAAAAAAGTAATTGATAATTTAATTAAACAAATCCAAAATAGCTGGCATAAAATGAAAGATTTAAAGAACGATGCCGTCAGAAAATCAGAAATATATAATATATCACTAAAACCTATTCTACACCTTAAACCTGGTCGCAATTGAGAAGAGCACATTTGTTCAGTGCCTAATATATACATATATACATGTACATACATTTATGTAACCCTAGACATAATCCCCGTGGCATTGGACAGGTGGGCTGATCCTTGTACATGTACGTGCTGGAAAGGTCGTCGTCCAGGCAAGTGGGGTCTATAGAAATAGAACCTGAATCGATTGCCATTATTTGAGGTTTTACAGAGCCATTCCTTATCAGTTTCTGGCGTATCACTTGCCCATTTTCCGAATATTGCGAAATTGCGCTATATAATTGTCTGAAATGTGGGCGAAGTTATAAGTTGGCGGCACGAACGGAAAACGGTTCCACAGGTTCCAAGACAAACAAACAGATAAATAAATAAATAAATAAATAAATAACATTAAAAAGCCTGATGAACATTATTAAAACCACCACCGCGTCGACTAGTAGCAGCGTGGTCGTCCTAGTCGCTTTATTATTTTTTCGTCATTATTTCGGCATATTTCACACACTATATGAACAGTCATTTGCAAGTGTAATAGTACCTTTAAACGCGATCACATATGCTGTTTACGATACATAGTAACTTAAAATTAACCTTCTATATATGGACAGTGCACAGTTACTCAAAACTGAGAGTAAAGATTGTAAGAAAATCTCAATACCTCAAACGCCGAGTCCCCTTTATTTCCACGCTGCTTACATCTAGTTGAAAACTCATCGACCTAAATTTGGAATTTGATTGACAACGCATTTTATTTTTGCACACATATATAACACTTATCTTAAGCTGGGACAACTTCTTTTAGCACGCAGTCTACAGTGCGATGCTATTTTAGTTTCATTCGGGCTATCAGTACATCAATCCGCTACAGGTCACCGGATCATATATATAAAGAAATATCAGATGTGCCCTAATTATGATGAACTGTGGATTTCACTCAGAACTACTAGGTCACATACGAAGGGAAAAGTAAGACCGACCGATCAATGCAAGTCACAATCACACAGCAGCTACGCGTTGAAAATGCGTTTGCGATGATGCAGATGAGCACAATCGGAGAAGTGCGCACTGAAACAATCATTGCTGGTGCAGCAATTTGACATGCTTTAAAGCGATAGAGGGTAAGTTTGGTGCATAAATGTTTATAGGAATAGAGTGCATATCTAGTGCATCCAACACAATGCTATTGATCATCTATGTTCACATTATCTTTTCATCATAACAAGAAATTCAAACTTTTTCTGGAACATTAGAAAGATGTTTTGGAATGCTGATAGTAATTCACTGCCGTTTTCTGACGGACGCTGTCTAAATAATTGCGTTTTTTTTTTGCAATTAATAAAGTCTAAATTCATTTATAGATATAGGTTAATGGTAAATTTTAGTCACTCAACACTAATCAATCAATCAAGAGTGTCACTTTATTCTGATATTCAGAATGACCCCATACATAGCAATGTCATTTCTGAATTTACATACATGTTGTTTCAAAAAGTTCCCAAACCAAAGTTCCCCAACGAAAGTTCCCCAACCAAAGTTCTAAATTAATAGTAAAGAAAACTACAGTACTTTTAATTGCTGTACTACTTTCATTTTCTCAAAAGTATCTCTCTGATTTCCAAAACTCTTTCATTTTACAGGCTAAGGTAAAGGCGGCCCAACTCGGTCAATTGGCCATTGGTGTCGATGAGACTGATGGTTGGGCATAGAAAGCTTCCCTGACAGCTTGGAAGGCGATGCTCAAACCAAGCGTACCTGTAGATGAACGAAGACTTCTCCAACATGGGGATGGCCGCGCGCATGAAATTCTTGATTGGCGTAGCGTCATATCTCGTCCAGGGGCACGAGAATTCCGTCACCCAGAGTGGTTTTTTCACCTGATTATAGACGGCGCCAAGATAGCCCAAGAGGTCGTAAGCGTTGCAGGTATAGTGATGGGTGGCGACGTAATCGATGCGGCAGCCGCCCAGTTGGTTGCAGCGGGCAAAGAATCTCGTGAACCACGTGGAGAATTGCATATTGCACGTATTTTTGTCGTTGGTGTCGCAGGGCGCGGCGGCGGGGCTGACCATCTTGACATTGGCGGGGACGTTCTTCTGAAGTTGAACCCATTTCTCTGCTGCCAACTCCGGGCTGATGTTGGCTTGGACTCTGAAGTTCGGCTCGTTAAACCCTGGGGAACAATTATGAAAGTTTGAAATACTTATTTTTATCAACTTGCGGAACATTCACCTGATCAACTCTTATTATTGCTGGTTACACATTCTGGAATGACAAAGTGGTAAACACATTACCGGTACGTGGGGCTCACGTGATGTCGTAACAAAGTGATAGTCACGTGGCTCCCACGTTGTTTCTGCTGAGTGCATGTGACTTTCTGTACAAAGTGCTGCAAATGCATTGTTATCCTAGCTTTTTTACATTTCTCAGAAAATCACTGAGTTTATAGCCATAAATGCACGTGCACAAAAAGAGCGTAGACCACAAGTTTACCGTATTGTTGCTCATTGATAATTTGGTGATCTCGGACCAATAAATTTTAGTGTTATGTTTCTCCTCTTAAAAAGGAAGTAAAGGACTATGGCCTTACTCACCCTGATTATTAACCAACATACGGTTGTTTCAACTTATGCACTCCCTTTAGACTCCACCATCCTTTCTTTGCCTTTAAGTTGCTATTATTATTAATTTAGTATCTGTGTCATACAGTTATACTGTGCCCCTTTCCTTTTCCCTCTTTTGTGGCTTAATAACAAATGCTTCATTTGAAATAGCGGAGGCCATGTCTTACCCAGCAAGTATTTGTTTCCTCTGATGTTGGTTATCATTGGCACGTGATCCAGGCCCCAGAACATGGGTACGTATTCCAAGCTGTCGTCTGTAGTGCACTGGTCTTTGCCACTTACCCGCCAATCATACCTAGATTAAATTAAATTAAGTTAAATTAAATACTAAAATATTAGATTAAATATGAATAGATATAGGAAAATTGTAATAATATTGATATATAACTAGATAGAAATTAAGCATTTAGAGAGCGTAGACCTCCGCCAAGGGACCTCAGTTCCCGTTATTGGTAATTTAATTGATGAATGAAAAATCAACCAAATCCTATCGATTCCAAGTTAGCCCACTTCCGATCTCTTCTGAAAATGTCATCAAAATCCATCCATAAGTTTTTAACTTAGGCTACTAACCTCAAGATGACAGTTACGTGATATTTATTAAGGGAGGTAGGGAAGGGGAGGGAGAAAAGCAAAATATAAAATACTTGACGAGGATATGCTGTATCCCATTTAGCTTGTTGAACTATTTATTAATTCTTCTTCTTCTTCTTATTTATTTTTTTTTTTTTTTTTTGGGGGGGGGGGGGGGGCAAAGGGAGAGAAAAGAGTATCGAAAAGCGGAAGAGTCACATTGGTTTTTCTGGGTCTACTATTTCACGAATCACTACATTAGGTTGAACATGCGGCTCATCGATTCGACTTTATCAGAGCTCAGCATTTGCCATAGCTTTTATTTCAGCAACAATATTGTTTTTGTCAGCAGGCAATTTCAACTTGTAGTTTAAGGAAAATTGTCAACTATGAAAAAAATGGAAAAACAGTACGGTATAAATTTGAAATTATATTTAACCGGAACTGCCCATTTGCAAACTTCATTTTAATTACAATGTAGAATTTACCAGCCCGACTGAGGAACTAACAGTACTTGTCTTTGGATAACACCAGGGAGAAGGCATGAAATGACTGATTTCGACGGAAATGTTAAAGAAAGAAATATTACATCAGCGTTCGTCACTATTTATATTTTCTTCCTAGAATTGATTATCCCCCAATGGAGAATTCAGGATTGTCCATTCCTTTGTTGAAGTTCTAGTTGTTTCTATTACTAGTTTTCTTTGGTAGATACCGTCTAGATGTTTTTGTTAGATACCGTCTTTAAACAGCCACTTACCACCATGCCAGTTTCCCAACAAAAGGAGTGAAATCCCTGCATTTGAGATCCTGCCATCCAAAACCGAGTCCCTTCTTGTAGGACACACCGGTTACTGCAGCAACTGCGATGGCCAAGAATAGCACCGACCACACGAGTTTTTCTGTCATTTCTATAAATAAATGAAGAATGCGGTGAAAAAATGATAATAAACCTGAAAGCATGCATCCTTTGCGACGACAAACAGGATTTTCGATACCGAAAAAAAATATGGTTTGATTTAGGCTTAACAAATATTACATATCAAAAGTAACTGGCAAAAAAAATGGAAAGATTTAAAGACCTCTGCTTCAGAAAATCAGAAATATATGTGCCACTTGAAAAATATCACCAAAACCTACTTCTACACCTTAAACCTGGACGAAATTGAGAGGAGCACATTAGTTCAGTGCCTAATATATCTACATATGTAACCCTGGACATAATACTCGTGGCACTGGACAGGTGGGCTGATCCTTGCACGTGCTGGAAAGGTCATCGTCCAGGCAAGTGGGGTCTATAGAAATAGAACCTGAACCGATTGCCATTATTTGAGGTTTTACAGGGCCAATCCTAATCAGTTTTTGGCGTATCACTAGCCCATTTTCTGAATATTGCGAAATTGCGCAATATTATTGACTGAAATGTGGGCGAAATTTGGTCTATAAGTTGGCGGCACGAACGGGAAACGGTTCCAAAGGTTCCAAGAGTTGATGTTTGGGGGGGGGGGGAGGGGGTAATTTATTTTTCTACGCTTCTCTAGATGAATTTTAAAGCATTTACACGTGAACTTGTAGTTCACAAGGCCAGATTGCCCGTTTTTCTCTCCTTTAACTCGTTAAACCCTGTGGTTTGAGAAGTAGAAGAGGACTACCTGTGACCCTCGATTTAAATACTGAATTTTAAAAATATATACATTACATCTACACATGTACTCGTGTATGTTTATATTATAAGTATACTCACTTTTTTAACGTCGAGGCTTTTAGGTGGTGCCTGTTGTAGCTCAGGTCTGGATTTATTTTTATAGCCAATGAACTAACTACAGTGTAAGATCCGGCAGTAGTTCTTGGAACAGCCTTTTTTTTAACTGCTAACGGGATATTGCAGAGGCAGAGGGTCACGTGACGCTCTCTGTATCCTATGTAGTTTAAAATGAACCTGTGTTAATTTTAATCCGTGTTTAATTAGCGAACTTGAACTGATTAGAATCTAACCTATTGAACAGTGAGTGGTCAAAGGTCTCAAAGGACAAGGAGTCTAATGTTTCCAGAAGAAGATAAACCGATTTCGTTACGATAAGGTCATCAAAAATCAAGTTCATTTTTTTTAAAATTTTTGGTGTCCAATGAATAAATTGTCTTGTGTCATAATGAACAATTTTAGCAGTGCACAAAACCGGATCTACTGATAATTTTGTTACCAATATCTGTTTTTCATGCTTCAAAGTAGGAATTGGGTCTCAAACTATTTAGATTAAATCTGTATGTACAAATCATTTTGGTTTTTCGAAATTGCCCCGTCCGTGTGCCATTTCACATCGACTTTTTTGCCCCATATAGCCCTACAGTGTACAAGTATACGAATACAAGTGTTGCGAATAAAGGTAAAATTCAAGCGATATATATAGAGATCTGGAGATGGTTTGGATAAACAAAATAGCAGCAGATAGAAAGTGAACAAAAGAAACTGAGAAAATTTATAACTTTGCATATTTCAATTAAACACATCCACTTCAAGAAATCCAGTTAACCAAGAATAAATAAACAAAACCACTGATGGTCACAGTGATGCACATTTATTATTTCAGTCAAACGGATATCTGAGTCAACAAAACTTGACAACAACCAGCAAATTAAATCTACTGTCAGTCAGTTACAAGCTCAGATAAAGTTGACCAAGATGGGTAAGCTTTCCGCTATTGTCAAGGATGCTAGTGGACGTGCCAAGGAAATGACCTTGGGCGTGCGAAAGTCGGCTCTCGAACCAGGCATATCTGAAGATGAAGGACGACTTCTCTAGCATGGGCACCGCCGCGCGCATGAAGGACATAATCGGAGCTACATTATTGTTTGTGTTGGGACAGGCGAATTCTGTCAACCATATTGGCTTCTGCACCTGGTTGTGCACGGCGGTCAAGAAGCCCATGAGGGAATTGGCGTTGCAGGTATAGGAATGGGTGGCCACGTAATCTATGCGGCAGCCGAGCTGTTTGCACTTAGCAAAGAACCGGGAGAACCACTCGTTGTACTGCATGCTGCATTGGCCCGTCTTGGGGTTACAGGGGGCGGCAGCCGGGCTGACCAGTTTGACGCTAGAGGGCACTTTCTTCTGGATCTCCATCCATTTTTCAGCGGCCGTCTCCGGCATGATGTTAGACTGGGCGTGGAAGTTTGGTTCGTTGAAGCCTGAAGGAGTAAACATGACAAATAAATAAAACCGATAATAAACATTACTAAGTAATAAATTAAAATCTAATAGGAAATGACTATCGAAACGAATATATCATTCTCACGCTGCATTTACACAACGCTGTAGACCCCTAACCCGTGGCGCCATGTTCTGATGAATAAAGCGGACACCTCCTAGAATATTCGAATGAGTAATTGGATAAATAAACGAATCACCTGAGTTTACTTGCACGATACATGATAAACAGGTCTATGATAAGAATGCAAGGTCATTATGAAATTTTAGCACATTCTTCTAAAGAATATCATGTGCATATGTAATCCACCAAAAAAATGTATATGAAAACAATACGAAAAAAATCTTACCTAACAAGTACTTCTCTCCGTGAATTGATGTAATGGAGTTCATGGAACCGAGGCCCCAGATCATTGGAACGTACTCAATGTTCGGGTGGCACTGGTTCTTGCCGGTGGCTTTCCAATCATACCTGTAGAATACGCGACGAGTTGTGTAAAATATTGCTTCAAAAATGTACATTATTGACCACAAAATCCACCACCTTTTACCAACACGGAATGGACAGTTTTATAAGATACAGAGTGCCCAGATTTTTAAAGTGCCGAAACTGTGAACAGAGCCTCAAGGACTTTTATACCCTGGGCATTGTGAACTTGTCACTGATTTTATGATTTAACCAAATACACCCAAAGATTCACTTTTAACGCTGTTCTTGAAAATGAAAATGTATTTTAAATGTCTTTTAAATGTATTTTAGAAAATGTTTTAATATTTGATATGTTTTTCTTACAATTACTATTTTACTTTAATCAAATATGTACCATCCCACTTTTATGTGCAAATAAATATTATTATTATTATTATTATTATTATTATTATTATTATTATATAAAACACGCTGCGTGAGGCTAAACTTTTCTTTTTAATTGTGCATGTCTGCAGTATGGGACCATTTCCAGACCCTATCGTACTAACTGTGGATCTATCTATCTCTAAGGGGATTCTCACTAAATTGCAATCAAGCGGCTTAGATGTCTGTCATCCATACCGNAATTAATTAAATGAACAGACAAACAAAAAAACAAACAAACAAACAAATAAATAATATGAATATGTGTCACGAACATTAAGAACAGCACCACCATAATGTACTAGGAGTTGCGTGGTCTTCTTGGTCGCTCTATCTTATTTATTCAATGAAAGGCCAAGAGTTTAAATAGTCAGTAAGTATTTGTTTAATATAACATAAAGATTTTATCTTCAATTTTATGTCAACAACCTCTAAGTTGAACGTTGGAAAAACGCCATATATGAAAAACTTTCTCCCCATATATATATATATATATATATATATATATATATATATATATATATATATATATATATATATATATATCTTAATTATAATATACGGTGATTCTGTCTAATAGTTTTTTTCCTGCTAAAATCAGTAAGTACGAAATAACTTTTTTAAACTCTCTTTGTGTTACTGATAAATTATTTACTCTTGCCATTTTGTTTAACAGATTCTTTATCAATCAGAAAAAAAGCCATGGAAGTCTTATTTTAGCTTAGTTAAGAAAATCACTTTAAATCTTGAAGGAAATAGAATTTATTTCTAGCCACACACACCCTTGGATTACACATTGATATCTTTAATTTACTTCAACAAAATCACACGGAGAAAACATTTTGTTCAATTAACACCGCCTACCTTGCAGAGCCCAGGAGGTCTTTGTTGTTTTTCTAAAATTATACTTCGAAATGCCCACGCATATTTCACACACTATACTTCAAATTATTTGCAAAGTTGTTGATTTCAACAGAGTTAGTAGAACAGCGACACGTACACATGTACCTTTAACGCGCTAATAAATCCTGCCTACGATACATACTAACTTATAAGTACATGTATATTGTCTTACATATGGTCAATGCACATAAAAGTTACTTAAAATTGAGAGTAAAAAATTTAGGTAAAATCTCAATACCTCAAACGCCGAGTCCCTTTTAATTCCACACTGCTATCATGTAGTTGAAAACACATCGACCTAAATTTGGAATTTGATTGACAACGCATTCCATTTTTTTGAAAAGATATATAACACTTATCTTAATCTGGGACAACTTCTTTTAGCACGCAGTCTACAATGCTGTGCTATTTTAGACAGTCCCATTCGGGCTATCAACACATCACTCCGCCACAGGTCACAGGATCACATATATAAAGAAATATCAGATGTGCCCTAATTATGATGAACTCTGGAATTCACTCAGAAACACTAGGTCACATACGAGGGGAATAGTTAAGGCCGACCGATCAATGAAAGTCACAATCACACAGCAGTTACGCGTTGAAAATGCGTTTGCGATGATGTAGATGAACATATCGAAAAGATGTGCACAATCATTGCTGCTGAAGCAGTTTGTAATGCTTTAAAGCGATAGAGCATTTCAACAGTGGTCCGCTGATGTGAAGGGCAATAGTAAGCTGAATAGCTATAGTGAGTATAAAACTATGCTAAATGTGGAGCGCTATTTAACTGTAATTACGTCATGGAAGATTAGAAATGCCTTATCACGGCTTAGAACCTCGTGTCATGATCTAAAAATCGAGAGGGGTAGACATCAAAATATAGATCCCAAATTTAGACATTGTGATTTCTGCTGCAACGCTTATAATGAAGCATACATAGAGGACGAGTACCATTTCGTGCTTGTGTGTCCACGATATAATGGTTACAGATCAAAATATATTCCCGGCATTCAGGCAAACATATTCAACTTCAATAAGCTCATGAAATCTGAAGATGCAACTCTCTTGACAAATCTGTCAATGTATGTGTATGAGTGCTTCAAACTTAGGGATATATACATGTAGAAGGCATAAATTTGACTCCTGTTACTGTAATGTAATATAGGCTAGTGGCCTAAATTTACGTAAATAAACATCATCATAAAGCGATAGAGGGTAGTCTGGTGAATAATTGTTTAAAGCATGGACATAATGAGTTATGTCCATGTTTAAAGGGAATAGAGTGAATATCTGATGCAAAAATACTCCCTGGACAAGTTTTATCGTACATCCAACACAATGCTATTAATCATCTATGTTCACGATATCTTTTAATTCATAATAAGAAAATCAAACTTTTTCAAGTGCATTAGAAGGATGTTTTGGAATACTGACGGTAAGTCATTGCCGGTTTTCATTTGCGGGCGGTATATATCTGAAATAATGTCGTTTTTTTACAATTAATTAAGTTTAAAGGCATTTACAGATGTAAGTTTACGGTACATTTTTGTCACTTAACGCTAATCAATCAATCAATCAATGAATCAATCCATTAATCAAGAGTCTTATTTTATTTTGATACACACAATTCCCCCTACATAACGGTCTCACTTCTGAATTTAAATAGTTTCATTATAACGAAATTTCCCCAAACAAAAGTTCTAAATTAACAGTAAAGAAAAATGATACTACTTCTAATTGCTGTACTTTCATTTTCTCAAACGTATCTCTCTGAGTTACAAAACTCTTTCATTTTACAGGCTAAGGTAGAGGCGGCCCAACTCGGTCAATTGGCCATTGGTGTCGATGAGACTGATGGTTGGGCATAGAAAGCTTCCCAGACAGCTTTGAAGACGGTGTGCAAACCAAGCGTACCTGTAGATGAAAGAAGACTTCTCCAACATGGGAATGGCCGCGCGCATGAAATTCTTGATTGGCGTAGCATCGTATCTGGTCCAAGGGCACGAGAATTCCGTCACCCAGAGTGGTTTTTTCACCTGATTATAGACGGCGCCAAGATAGCCCAAGAGGTCGTAGGCGTTGCAGGTATAGTGATGGGTGGCGACGTAATCGATGCGGCAGCCGCCCAGCTGGTTGCAGCGCGCGAAGAATCTCGTGAACCATGTTGAGAATTGCATGTTGCATGTGTTTTTGTCGTTTGTGTCGCAGGGCGCGGCGGCAGGGCTGATCATCTTGACATTGGCGGGGACGTTTTTCTGAAGTTGAACCCATTTCTCTGCTGCCAACTCCGGGCTGATGTTGGATTGGGCTCTGAAGTTCGGCTCGTTAAACCCTGGGGAACAATTATGAAAGTTTGAAATACTTATTTTTATCAACTTGCGGTACATTTACCGGATCAGTTCTTATTATTGATAGTTACACATTCTGGAATGACAAATTGGTAAACACGTTACCGGTACGTGGGGCTCACGTGATGTCGTAACAAAGTGATAGTCACGTAGCTCCCACGTTGTTTCTGCTGAGTGCATGTGACTTTCTGTACAAAGTGCTGCAAATTCATTATATCCTAGCTTTTTTACATTTCTCAGAAAATCTCTAATAGTTAATAGACATGAATACACGTGCACAAAAAGAGCGTAGACCACAAGTTCAACGTATTGTTGCTCATTGATAATATGGTGAATCCAATAAGTTTTGGTGTTAGGATTTTCCTCTTAGGGACCATTACCACAGATATTTGGATCGATCTATCTCCCTGGGAGTCCACTAAATTGCTATCAAGCTTACCGACTTAAATGTCTGTCACGCCTGGTAAAGCTGTTAGGGGGTAATTATCTTTACCCCCTAGCTGATTTGGTAGGTATGACAGACATTTAAGCCTGTTAAGTTGACAGTATTTAGTGAGACTCCCCATGGCCATGTCTTACCCAGCAAGTATTTGTTTCCTCTGATGTTAGTTATCATTGGCACGTGAGCCAGGTTCCACAACATGGGTACGTATTCCAAGCTGTCGTCTGTAGTACACTGGTCTTTGCCGCTTACCCGCCAATCATACCTAGATTAAATTAAATTAAGTTAAATTAAATATTAAAATATAAGATTAAATATGAATACATATAGGAAAATTGCAATAATATTGATATATAACTAGATAGAAATTAAGCATTTAGAGAGCGTAGACCTCCGCCAAGGGACCTCAATTACCATTATTGGTAATTTAATTGATGAATGAAAAATCAACCAAATCCTATCGATTCCAAGTTAGCCCACTTCCGATCTCTTCTGAAAATGTCATCAAAATCCATCCATAAGTTTTTAACTTAGGCTACTAACCTCAAGATGACCATGGCGTGTTATTTATTAAGGGAGGTAGGGGAGGGGAAAGAGCATTGGAGAAAAACAAAATACAGACTTGACATTTAATATGGAATATTTTTTTCGAAATAATTTTTTATCAGTTTTTTTCCTATTTTGCTGACTGATAAATGAAAATAAGGATTAAAATCGTGTTTTAATAACTTGAAATTGTCTCTTTGATGTCATTGTGACATCAGTTCATGAATGGAATTCGCCAGAGAAGCAAACAAAAACACGTTGCCTATTCTATGTCATACGACTCCCATTAAAAGAGATATTTTAGATCTCCATATTTTCCAAATTATCGTCTGTAAAAGGGTAATACGCTCCGCAAAAGACCCTCATGTCAGTTGCTAGTCACAGTAATGGTCGTTGTTACGCCTGGCCTCTTCGTGGCTGTTGCCAGCGCTCTCAAGCGGCAAGGCATTTCTTGGGGGTAGGTTTTTAGAGTTCAATCTGGAATAGCATTCTAGACATAGGTCTAAAATTGTCCAATCTGGTCCAGTTTTGTTGTAGGACATGTAGGCAGTTGATTGGTGAGTAATGGTCTACCGAAATATTGTCTATGTGGTTCAAATGTGGCGATTTTGATGACCAGGGTAGCTGCTCATTCCCTTGGTTCTGTAAGTTATCTGCTATTAAAAGTGCTCTGTGTGAACCTGCAACCTCATCGTGCAACCTAGAATTGTTCCCAAGGTGCCCCCTATCAAATGATAGTCAAGTGGTTCCGAGATTATTCCTTAATTTGATCTGGTTCAGGTTTTCGTCGATGACTACCGTTGGTGTTTTGGCACCAATGTGGAATCTACTCCAAATACTGACGCTGTCAATCACCCTTGTCACTTTAGACCCGGCATATGCTTCGTCGTAGGCCTCTTCTGGATACCTGTAAACTCTGTTTTGACTAATTGGGCGGTACAGGTGAAATCTGACCTCAATAAAGAAAGCCACGCAGTTTCAGTGTTCTACCCAGAATCGTTCACGGCCCCCAATTCATTAGAGAAACAGACGACGATGTTTTGCTGTATACAGTGGGTACCTCGGAGGTCATTTGGTGTTCTTACCTGCTAAAACCAGTTTAGTGTTCACTAAGGGCTTTGAAAAATGCATTTTAGTGGCAATTTACCCCTCGTTCTGAACGGACTAAGTGTTTTTTGTTGAGTTGCAGCAGCGTATACCGAAAGACAGTGGGTCCTGTACCCTGTAGGTAAAATTTTGATACATTGGGGGTTACCTCTGTGTAGGTACATCAGTCTGGGCATTACTCTATAAAACTGTGGGGACCGTTCCGTTTGGCGCTATGATCTGTCTGGTTATGTCTGTCTATTTCGCGCCATTCTGCCTTAGATTAACAAATTTGTAATGCACTGCTTGGCTCATTTTACGCACTGCAAAACTGACCGCTTGCATGCAAAATTTCAAATTCTTCTATGCAGTAGTTGCCGAAATATGGATACTTTTTTGACAGAACCAAGCTTTGCCTAAGCCAATCTTTGATTAGCCCAAAGGAACACTACCCAATTAAATCACTGCAAATCACATAATGTAGCAGCGCAACAGGCATGAAAGTCAGTTAATTGGTAGTTGAAATGTTCGAAACAGAAATTTTTACATCCGGGTTCGTCACTATTTATATTTTCTTTCCTAGAAGTAATGTCCCCTAATGGAGAATTCTGGACCGTCATTTTCTTTGTTGAAGTACTAGTTGTTTTTATTACTAGCAGTGTCTGTTAGATACTCTAAATTATTTATTTCCTATTTATATACAGTCACTTACCACCATGCTAGTTTCCCAACAAAAGGAGCGAAATCCCTGCATTTGAGATCCTGCCATCCAAAACCGAGTCCCTTCTTGTAAGACACACCGGTTACCGAAGCAACGGCGATGGCCAAGAATAGCAGCGTCCACCCGAGCTTTCTCATTTCTACATATAAATGAATAATGCAGTGAAAAAAATTAAAAAAAAAACATAAAGCATGCAACATTTGCCAAGAAAAACACGATTTTTGAAACTGAAAAAGATTTAAAAAAATAGTAGAATTTTCAGTATGAAAAAGGTAATTGATAATTTAATTAAACAAATCCAAAAATAGCTGGCATAAAATGAAAGATTTAAAGAACGATGCCTTCAGAAAATCAGAAATATATAATATATCACTAAAACCTACTTCTACACCTTAAAACTGGTCGCAATTGAGAAGAGCACATTTGTTCAGTGCCTAATATATCTACATACATTTATGTAACCCTAGACATAATCCCCGTGGCATTGGACAGGTGGGCTGATCCTTGTACATGTACGTGCTGGAAAGGTCATCGTCCAGGCAAGTGGGGTCTATAGAAATAGAACCTGAATCGATTGCCATTATTTGAGGTTTTGCAGAGCCATTCCTTATCAGTTTCTGGCGTATCACTTGCCCATTTTCCGAATATTGCGAAATTGCGCAATATAATTGTCTGAAATGTAGGCGAAGTTATAAGTTGGCGGCACGAACGGAAAACGGTTCCAAAGGTTCCAAGATAAATAAATAAATAAATAAATAAATAAATAACATGAAAAAGCGTGATGAACATTATGAACACCACCACCGCGTCGACTAGTAGCAGCGTGGTCGTCCTAGTCGCTTTAATTTTTTTTTTCGTCATTCAATGAGTAAGCCCACGCATATTTCACACACTATATGAACAGTCATTTGCAAGTGTAACAGAACAGTGACATGTACACACGTACCTTTAAACGCGATCACATGTGCTGTTTACGATACATAGTAACTTAAAATTGACCGTTTATAAATGGACAGTGCACAGTTACTCAAAACTGATAGTAAAGATTGTAAGAAAATCTCAATACCTCAAACGCCGACCCCCCTTTATTTCCACGCTGTTTACATCTAGTTGAAAACTCATCGACCTAAATTTGGAATTTGATTGACAACGCATTTTATTTTTGCACACATATATAAAACTTATCTTAAGCTGGGACAACTTCTTTTTGCACGCAGTCTACACTACAGTGCTATGCTATTTTAGTTTCATTCGGGCTATCAGTACAGTACATCAATCCGCTACAGGTCACCGGATCATATATATATAAAGAAATATCAGATGTGCCCTTATTATGATGAACTCTGGATTTCACTCAGAACTACAAGGTCACATACGAAGGGAAAAGTAACACCCCATTTCCATAGATTTTTAGATCGATCTATCCCTGTGGGGAGTCTCACTAAATTACTGTCAGCTTGGCCGGCTTAAGCGTCTGTCCCGCCTACAAAAAGCTGTAAGGGGGTAATTAACTATGGTGCCCACTCGGCTGACTGCAATTTAGCGTGAACCCGCAGGGAGTTAGGTCGATCTAAAACTTAATCTTTAGATCGATCTTAACCTCTGGGAAAGCACCCTAAGACCGACCGATCAATGCAAGTCACAATTACACAGCAGCTACGCGTTGAACATGCGTTAGCGATGATGCAGATGAACACAATCGGAGAAGTGCGCACTGAAACAATCATTGCTGGTGCAGCAATTTGGCATGCTTTGAAGCGATAGAGGGTAAGTTTGGTGCATAAAAGTTTAAAGGAATAGATTGAATATCTAGTGCATCCAACACAATGCTATTGATCATCTACGTTCACATTATATTTTCATCATAACAAGAAATTCAAACTTTTTCTGGAACATTAGATATACAGAATGACCCCATACATAGCAATCCCATTTTTGATTTTACATACATGTAGTGTCACTAAAACGAAAGTTCCCGAAACAAAAGTTCTAAATTAACAGTAAAGAAAACTACAGTACTTTTAATTGCTGTACTACTTTCATTTTCTCAAAAATATCTCTCTGATTTCCAAAACCCTTTCATTTTACAGGCTAAGGTAAAGGCGGCCCAACTCGGTCAATTGGCCATTGGTGTCGATGAGACTGATGGTTGGGCATAGAAAGCTTCCCTGACAGCTTGGAAGGCGGTGCTCAAACCAAGCGTACCTGTAGATGAACGAAGACCTCTCCAGCATGGGGATGGCCGCGCGCATGAAATTCTTGATTGGCGTAGCGTCATATCTCGTCCAGGGGCACGAGAATTCCGTCACCCAGAGTGGTTTTTTCACCTGATTATAGACGGCGCCAAGATAGCCCAAGAGGTCGTAAGCGTTGCAGGTATAGTGATGGGTGGCGACGTAATCGATGCGGCAGCCGCCCAGTTGGTTGCAGCGGGCAAAGAATCTCGTGAACCATGTTGAGAATTGCATATTGCACGTATTTTTGTCGTTGGTGTCGCAGGGCGCGGCGGCAGGGCTGACCATCTTGACATTGGCGGGGACGTTCTTCTGAAGTTGAACCCATTTCTCTGCTGCCAACTCCGGGCTGATGTTGGCTTGGACTCTGAAGTTCGGCTCGTTAAACCCTGGGGAACAATTATGAAAGTTTGAAATATTTATTTTTATCAAATTGACAAATTGGTAAACACATTACCGGTACGTGGGGCTCACGTGATCAAGGAGTTATCTGTTATAACTCCTTGACGTGATGTCGTAACAAAGTGATAGTCACGTGGCTCCCACGTTGTTTCTGCTGAGTGCATGTGACTTTCTGTACAAAGTGCTGCAAATTTATTGTTATCCTAGCTTTTTTACATTTCTCAGAAAATCACTGAGTTTATAGCCATAAATGCACGTGCACAAAAAGAGCGTAGACCACAAGTTTACCGTATTGTTGCTCATTGATAATTTGGTGATCTCGGACCAATAAATTTTGGTGTTATGTTTCTCCTCTTAAAAGGGAAGTAAAGGACTATGGCCTTACTCACCCTGATTATTAACCAACATACGGTTGTTTCAATTTATGCACTCCCTTTAGACTCCACCATCCTTTCTTTGCCTTTAAGTTGCTATTATTATTAATTTAGTATCTGTGTCATACAGTTATACTGTGCCCCTTTCCTTTTCCCTTTTTTGTGGCTTAATAACAAATGCTTCATTTGACATAGCGGAGGCCATGTCTTACCCAGCAAGTATTTGTTTCCTCTGATGTTGGTTATCATTGGCACGTGATCCAGGCCCCAGAACATGGGTACGTATTCCAAGCTGTCGTCTGTAGTGCACTGGTCTTTGCCGCTTACTCGCCAATCATACCTAGATTAAATTAAATAAAGTTAAATGAAATATTAAAACATTAGATTAAATATGAATACATATAGGAAAATTGTAATAATACTGATATATAACTAGATAGAAATTAAGCATTTAGAGAGCGTAGATCTCCGCCAAGGGACCTCAATTCCCGTTATTGGTAATTTAATTGATGAATGAAAAATCAACCAAATCCTATCGATTCCAAATTAGCCCACTTCCGATCTCTTCTGAATATGTCATCAAAATCCATCCATAAGTTTTTAACTTAGGCTACTAACCTCAAGATGACAGTGACGTGTTATTTATTAAGGGAGATAGGGAAGGGGAGGGAGAAGAGCATTGGAGAAAAGCAAAATATAAAATACTTGACGAGGATATGCTGTATCCCATTTAGCTTGTTGAACTATTTATTGATTCTTCTTCTTCCTATTTTTTTTTTTTGGGGGGGGGGGGAGGGGGGGGGCAAAGGGAGAGAAAAGAATATCGAAAAGCAGAAGAGTCACAGTGGTTTTTCTGGGTCTACTATTTCACGAATCACTACATTAGTTTGAACATGCGGCTGATTGATTCGACTTTATCAGAGCTCAGCATTTGCCATAGCTTTTATTTCAGCAACAATATTGTTTTTGTCAGCAGGCAATTTCAACTTGTAGTTTAAGGAAAATTGTCAACTATGAAAAAGATTGAAAAACAGTGCGGTATAAATTTGAAATTATATTTAACCGGAACTGCCCATTTGCAAACTTCATTTTAATTACAATGTAGAATTTACCAGCCCGACTGAGGAACTACCAGTACTTGTCTGTGGATATCACCAGGGGGAAGGCACGAAATGACTGAATTCGACGGAAATGTTAAAGGAAGAAATATTACATCCGGGTTCGTCACTATTTATATTTTCTTCCTAGAATTGATTTTCCCCCAATGGAGAATTCAGGATTGACCATTCCTTTGTTGAAGTTCTAGTCGTTTTTATCACTACATGTAGATGTTTTTTTTTAGGAAGATACCGTCTTGATGTTTTTGTTAGATACCGTCTATAAACAGCCACTTACCACCATGCCAGTTTCCCAACAAAAGGAGTGAAATCCCTGCATTTGAGATCCTGCCATCCAAAACCGAGTCCCTTCTTGTAAGACACACCGGTTACTGCAGCAACTGCGATGGCCAAGAATAGCACCGACCACACGAGCTTTTCTGTCATTTCTATAGATAAATGAAGAGTGCGGTGAAAAAAATAATAATAAACCTGAAAGCATGCATCCTTTGCGACGACAAACAGGATTTTCGATACCGAAAAAATATGGTTTGATTTAGGCTTAACAAATATTACATATCAAAAGTAACTGGCAAAAAATGGAAAGATTTAAAGACCTCTGCTTCAGAAAATCAGAAATATATGTGCCACTTGAAAAATATCACCAAAACCTACTTCTACACCTTAAACCTGGACGAAATTGAGAAGACCACATTTGTTCAGTGCCTAATATATCTACATATGTAACCCTGGACATAATACTCGTGGCAGTGGACAGGTGGACTGATCCTTGCACGTGCTGGAAAGGTCATCGTCCAGGCAAGTGGGTTCTGTAGAAATAGACCCTGAACCGATTGCCATTATTTGAGGTTTTACAGGGCCAATCCTTATCAGTTTCTGGCGTACCCCGGTATCACTTGTCCATTTTCTGAATATTGCGAAATTGCGCAATATAATTGTCTGAAATGTGGGCGAAATTTGGTCTATAAGTTGGCGGCACGAACGGAAAACGGTTACAAAGGTTCCAACAGTTGATGTTGGTGTGGGGGGGGGGGGGGGTAAATTAATTTTCTATGCTTCGCTAGATGAATTTTAAAACATTTACACGTGAACTTGTAGTTCATGAGGCCAGATTGCTCGTTTTCGCTCCTTAAACTCGTTAAACCCTGTGGTTTGAGAAGTAGAAGAGAACTACCTGTGACCCTCGATTTAAATACTGAATTTTAAAAATATATACATTACATCTACACATGTACTCGTGTATGTTTATATTATAAGTACTCACTTTTTTAAGGCTTTTAGGTGGTGTCTATTGTAGCTCAGGTCTGGATTTATTTTTATAGCCCCCACACCAATGAACTACAGTATAAGGTCCGGCAGTAGTTCTTGGAACAGCGTTTTTTAAAACTGCTAACGGGGTATTGCAAAGGCAGAGGGCCACGTGGCGCTCTCTGTATCCTATGTAGTTTAAAATGAACCTGTGTTAATTTTAATCTGTGTTTAATTAGCGAACTTGAACTGATTAGAATCTAACCTATTGAACAGTGAGTGGTCAAAGGTCTCAAAGGACAAGGAGTCTAATGTTTCCAGAAGAAGATAAACCGATTTCGTTACGATAAGGTCATCAAAAATCAAGTTCATTTTTTTTTAATATTTGGTGTCCAATGAATAAATTGTCTTGTGTCATAATGAACAATTTTAGCAGTGCACAAAACCGGATCTACTGATAATTTTGTTACCAATATCTGTTTTTCATGCTTCAAAGTAGGAATTGGGTCTCAAACTATTTAGATTAAATCTCTATGTACAAATCATTTTGGTTTTTCGAAATTGCCCAGTCCGTGTGCCATTTCACATCGACTTTTTTGCCCCATATAGCCCTACAGTGTACAAGTATACGAATACACAGGCCCGTAGCCAGGGGGGGTTCGGGGGGTTCGAAAGAACCACCCTTTTTGCTGGGAAAAGGTCCACTCTGGGTAAAATTTGATCTATGTACTTGAGGATTTTATGGTAAAAGGTCCACTTTTTCAGAAAACGAACCCCCCCCCCCCTCTGAAATTGTTGGCTACGGGCCTGATACAAGTGTTGCGAATAAAGGTAAAATTCAAGCGAGATATATAGAGATCTGGAGATGGTTTGGATAAACCATATCTGCTGCTATTTTAGCAGCAGATAGAAAGTGAACAAAAGAAACTGAGAAAATTTAGAACTTTGCATATTTCAATTAAACACATCCACTTCAAGAAATCCAGTTAACCAAGAATAAATAAACAAAACCACTGATGGTCACAGTGATGCACATTTATTATTTTAGTCAAACGGATATCTGAGTCAACAAAACTTGACAACAACCAGCAAATTAAATCTACTGTCAGTCAGTTACAAGCTCAGATAAAGTTGACCAAGATGGGTAAGCTTTCCGCTATTGTCAAGGATGCTAGTGGACGTGCCAAGGAAATGACCTTGGGCGTGCGAAAGTCGGCTCTCGAACCAGGCATATCGGAAGATGAAGGACGACTTCTCAAGCATGGGCACCGCTGCGCGCATGAAGGACATAATCGGAGCGACATTATTGTTTGTGTTGGGACAGGCGAATTCTGTCAACCATATTGGCTTCTTCACCTGGTTGTGCACGGCGGTCAAGAAGCCCATGAGGGAATTGGCGTTGCAGGTGTAGGAATGGGTGGCCACGTAATCTATGCGGCAGCCGAGCTGTTTGCACTTAGCAAAGAACCGGGAGAACCACTCGTTGTACTGCATGCTGCATTGGCCCGTCTTGGGATTACAGGGGGCAGCAGCCGGGCTGACCAGTTTGACGCTAGAGGGCACTTGCTTCTGGATCTCCATCCATTTTTCAGCGGCAGTCTCCGGCATGATGTTAGACTGGGCGTGAAAGTTTGGCTCGTTGAAGCCTGAAGGAGTAAACATAACAAATAAATAAGACCGATAATAAACATTACTAAGTAATAAATTAAAATCTAATAGGAAATGACTATCGAAACAAATCTGTCATTCTCACGCTGCCTTTACACGACGCTGTTGACCCCTGACCCGTGGCGCCATGTTCTGATGAATAAGTGGACACCTCATAGAATATTCGAATGAGTAATTGGATAAATAAATGAATCACCTGAGTTTACTTGCACGATATGATAAACAGATCTATGATAAGAATGTAAGGTCATTATGGAATTTTTAGCACATTCTTCTCAAGAATATTATGTGCATATGTAATCCACCAAAATAATATCAATGAAAACTATACGAAAAAATCTTACCTAACAAGTACTTCTCTCCGTGAATTGATGTAATGGAGTTCATGGACCCAAGGCCCCAGATCATTGGCACGTACTCAATGTTCGGGTGGCACTGGTTCTTGCCGGTGGCTTTCCAATCATACCTGTAGAATACGCGACGAGTTGTGTAAAAGATTGCTTCAAAAATGTACAATAGTGACCACAAAATCCACCACCTTTTACCAACACGGAATGGACAGTTTTATAAGATACAGAGTGCCCAGTTTTTTCAAGTGCCAAAACTGTGAACAGTGAGAGCCTCAAGGACTTTTATACCCTGAGCATTGTGAACTTGTCACTGATTTTATGATTTAACCAAATACACCCAAAGATTCACTTTTAACGCTGTTCTTGAAAATGAAAATGTATTTTAAATGTCTTTTAAATGTATTTTAGAAAATGTTTTAATATTTGATATGTTTTTCTTACAATTACTATTTTACTATAATCAAATATGTACCATCCCACTTTTATGTGCAAATAAATATTATTATTATTATTATTATTATTATTATTATTATTATTATTATTATTATTATATAAAACACGCTGCGTGAGGCTAAACTTTTCTTTTTAATTGTGCATGTCTGCAGTATGGGACCATTTCCAGACCCTATCGTACTAACTGTGGATCTATCTATCTCTGAGGGGATTTTCACTAAATTGCAATCAATTTAAGCGGCTTAGATGTCTGTCATCCATATCGAACCTGCTTGGGGTAATTAATTATCGTTTAGCAGCTTCAGTAGGCGCGTCAGACCTCTAAGCCGCTTAAGCTGAAAGCAATTTAGCGAGGAACTCCTTGTAGATGGATCGATCCTGTTAGTTTGACCTAGGTATGGGAAACCAGTCTATGACTAACCTCTCCCACTTCACCGTTATGCCTTACGTGGGGTGGGCTGGTTGAGGTGGGGTAGTAAAAGTGCCAGATTTAAGAATATAATAACACTGAATGTGTTCGTTATAATTCAGTGAAATTTCAATCAATTCTGTTTCACATTACGGCTTCCAGCTCACAGCAGTTTTGATTCAGTTACTTTGATGGCATATATTTGGCAGGCTAATAAGGATAATAGTCCAAAACACGTATTCTTTATCCACACTGATGTCGAAGTGCATTCATAAAGGCAAACAACTAGATGCGGTCCGCCTTTTTATAAAAAAAAAACTGATCGTTTATGCGAATCCCAGTCATGGAAAATGCTATTTAAAACTGACCGTTTTACATGTATGAAATTCGGACGAGAATTGCAGGTCGCATGTATAGATATATCTATACTCACCACCAAGAGATCTTCCCAGTCACTGCGGGAAAATCCGAACATTTTGCGGCTCCAAATGACAAACCTTTCTTGGGCGACACCCCGGTTACCACGGCAATGCTTAGGCAAAGGAGAAGCAAGGAAAGTGCCAAACTAGGCCCCATACTGCACAATGGTTCCTAAACTCCAAAAATTAAAAAATAAAAAAGGAAAAACTTATTGAAAAAAAGTCCCCAGTATGGAATCATATTATAATCAGAACAATATGGAATAAATTATTAGATTTTACAGAAATGTGCCTTTAGAATAAAAAAGTTTAAATAAAGCTATTTCTGTGGATCACTAAAGCAAAACGATATCATTGATTTAAATTTGCTTACCTTCAGAGTAACTGAGAAGCCGCAAACGTCTGCAAACTTTATATAGAGGCTGCATGATAGACGTTATCTTATCTACGCAGTATGTGATACGAAATACAAACTAAGTCGATACCTGAATCTTCTAGATCTGGAATTGGGTGAAACGGAGCCCAGTTGTCAAAGGCAACCGTCACAGCTTGACATATTTTGTAACGTGTGTGAAAATTCGAGTGTGCGAGAGTACGTAAGTTTGTGTGTGTGTTTGCAGGGAAGAGAGGTACGGGACTAGAAACAAGCAAGGGAAGACTTGGTACCCTACCTATATTCGCGGATAAGCCTTAAGGAATCTAAAATTTTACTCTAGATCTAGGAAAACGCTTCGCAGCGTTAAAAGCAAGATATTGCCTACAACTGTACGTTCCCTAATGTAATTTGCAGTAAGCGAATGGGCTTTGAGCGATCTTGAGTCACCATCCGTGACTTTGAATTTGATTCAAGACAGAGATTACCCCGGAAGGTGCAGTCAAGATTATCTTTCATGTAGCTAACCGTGTTTGATTAAATGGCAGATGTGATACCACTGGTGTACAGTGATATGCTTGCTATTGATTCAGTTACAAACGCATGTGTCTTGCGTCTTGTCCTATGTTCGATATACAATATAATAGACCTCGATCAATCAGGTGCTTGGTCGAAGCGTTGACGACGATGGAACGCCAAGCCCTTCTGTCACGATATGTTTCTGCACAGTTGTTGGCTGTTTAACCTGCCCTGCACTGCTTGACGTTACTTAATCCAAATACGTCTTGAGCGTCCGGGCCTGTCTTCCGCTGGGGTCAACTTGGAGAACATTTTTAATGGGATAAAGCCTTATATATGCCCGAAATAACGAAGCTTTCGGTGCCCTATGTCTTTCAACAGCCATCTCTGATCTTTCAGTTTCTGAAGAACTCTCTCATTTGATAGTTTTTCAGTTTAAGGTATATGCCCCAGCCATCGAAATATCCACATCGCAAACGCTTTTAGTTTTTTAACACCTCTGCGTTCAAATCCCACATTTTATAGAAGTAAAGGAAGTGCCGTACTGCATAGCATTTCACAAGTCCCATTCTTGTTTTAAGGGTGATATTACGTGATTTCAAAATGTTTTTCATCTGACTGAACCTTGGATTAGCAATTAATATTCCTCTATGTATTTCTTTACAGCATTTCCCCTCCCTCCTATGTGACTCTTTAACTTGTTTGAGGTAGGCATATAATAATGGAATTAGTTTTTAAATTTTTAAAATTACCCATAACAAGGCTGTCGGTACTGCATGTCATACGAAACTAGAAAACGTGCGTTAGGTGGGAAAAACTTTTTTGCAGGAATCGCCAGAAACTTCAACGTGCAAACAGTACTCTGAAATGCAGGGTGCTGCATGCATCTGCGACTTCGAGGCTAATCTTTTAAGCTAGATCTCACGTTTTAAGCGGGTCGCTAAGGTACTTTTAAGTCAAAAGTTTAACCCATTGGCTTGTTTACAGTCTGAAGTTGCCCTGTAGTCAGTATATGTCGACCATGACAGGCAGGTGATTAGTAATGGCACGAAAATCTGTCTGTCGTCTTTACTGGGTTTACTGATAATTATTTTAGTGTTCCAACAAATTACCCTGTAAAATTTCCAACTTTGTCAATTTTACTGACCCAGGGTAGCTGGGTCATAAAACTGACAAAGGGTCACTTTTCTAGGTAACAGACCCAGAATCGCAGACTGGGGGCTCATTTGTGAGAAGGGCGGTGGATTTCTGTGGATCATTTCTTCTGGTAACAGCTAAATATAAAAATATTTTTAAAAAATGGATTTTAAAAACATGTTTGAATACATGTACGTGCAGCTACATGTGGCCTGTCTACATATGACGATACCGATCGCCCTGACTTTGAGTGGCACTTTCCCCAGGCCTTTCCTCCAGGGACTTGCCCCACGAAGTCACAAGCCGAGAAAACTTTCATGAAAAAAATCATTTATTGTTAAATATCATTGATTCTGAAGCTGTATCTTACGGCATCCTGCACGTTCTCGGAAGCAATTACAGCGAGACATCACGTGACAATTGTTTTGAAAAAAAAAAAGGGCGGTACGGCAAGACATTTAATCTGGCGCCCACGACAAGGACAATATTGTAATCTGACAGAAATATAGCAGGTCAGGAATAACTTGGTTTAATAATAATAAAACTTGATCAACAGCATACTGAACACATTTGCTAGTACACTGTACATGCATGTCTGTTTGCTTCTAAGAAATGGGGATACATTTTTGCAGTATCAGTCACATCCCCAGAAATGCACTGCATGACGTCACCCTTAGCCCACTGCGCATGCGTGCACTTTTAATGAGTTGCTAGATTGCCATAGGAAAATGAATGGGTTCGCGATTCGTGGGTAATTCGTGATAATTGACAAACTAACGGCCTGATGCCGATAGACAGCAACGCTGTGCTATGCTTCAAGCAACTCCTGACCAAATATCAATAGGGTTTTAAAAAAAATTCTGTTGTACACACGTACTAAGAAGTTTGCCGTGTATTGCCTATCCTACCCTCAGCAAAACGCACATATTTTCAGAAATAGTGATTTTAGATTCACTCAGAAACAAAGGCAAACTAATTCGTTGCCGATAGCACCAGCAGATAGCAGCACAATACAGAGTCTAATTAAAAACTTTCATGGCAACTGAAGAACTTTTACCACTGTACAGTGGAGTCCAAAAAAGCACTTGGCACAAATGTGAAACTGCCCAGTGCAAGGCCAAGAATTCAATCAGTATTTTCAATCATATTATCAGATTCTACATAAATTGACTGACAATATCACTACTCAGTATTTAACTAATCTCTTAATCCAAAATTCCTATCATCATTTAATAATAATGCAAAATTCTTCTTTCAGATTGCTATTTATTTTAAATTTTTATGCTGCAACTGTTCCAAAATAATCTTGTAGTAAAGGATAAATGCAAATAAGAAGTGGAAGACAAATTTTACCCACATTATTCAATTGTTTGAATATAAAAAGAATAAGATCACAATTTAACAAATTAAAATAATCTTTCATTTTCATGAATAACATATTAAACAAAATTAAAGTTATAAATTAGTGGTAATGGCTTATTCTGGAATATATGACTTCTGCACATCATCAGCACCTGACTTGGTACAGTATAGTTACTACTTGGATACAGAGTTAATTTTAATAATGTAACAATAAGAACAATATATTTTACAATGAACTTCTCTACTCATGTCAGACGCTTGTTACCATGAACTAACACTACTTGACAATGGGCTGAGCACTTATCACAGAGTCTGTGTGCGATGCCATTGTTGTGCTGTGATTGGCTAGTTGAGTCACGTGAAGCCCTACTGTAGCGCCCTCGCGTATCGCGTGAATGCTGCGCATTTCTGGCCATGGCAAGATCGTGACAATGACCTGTTTTGTTCACAAACCCACCGTCCATTATTTTACATCTAGGCATAAATTTGATTTCACAAAGTCACCAACATCACTTAGCACAGTTGGTCAGCCTCAACAAAAATGTCAGTTTCTTTCACAAAGGCCTAAACTATGTATCGATCATTCCAACAAAGAACACTCTATCTTGTGCCAATCATGGTCTTTAGTAGGTCGCCTACTTGGAACATAAACCTGAAGCTCTTTGGGGATAGAGGGCTCTCCTTGCCCCTTGGTTTCTCTCACAATAGGTATCACATACGAAGCCTTTCTTGTCAGTCCCTCATAAACAGCCTGATGTAGCTCGTATTGCCAGTTAGAGTCCCCTACAGCTTCGTGGGATATCACTACAATGGTCTTCATGCTGTTTGCCATTCCTGCTGTAATATTTTCCAACACCTTACTCCCAGGAAGAAAATCCCTGTCGCGGAGACACCCTCTGAACTTCAGGGATACTTCCAGCGTTGTGAGCAGATGGTAACAGACCCAGTCTCGGTCGCCGTCAGCATACACTACGTAGAAGTCATTCTCAAGTTCGGCGTTTCTTGCCTGTGCGGGTTGGTCGGGGATGCTGTAGCTGATTTCGGCAGGGACAGTGATTGAATCACAGACTGAGAGCTCATTTGTGAGAAGGGCGGTGGATTGCTGTGGATCATTTCTTCTAGTAACAGCTAAATTGCAGAAAAAATGTTAGTATAGAATCTTAAATCCCTGACTGGTTCAAGGTCATACAAATAAAGGTCATGAATGCCCTGTATAAAATTTGGAGGGCAAAAGTAATAATTATAATAATAATAATATCATCAAATAAAATATTTAAGTATTATGATAAAGAAAATTAATCTCAAATAGAATAAAGATGTAAATCATCCTGCATATTGTTATCTGGTCTACAATCATTTAAGAATGATTTACCTCGTTCGGTTTCCTGGTTGACACCGATATATTGACTTGGTGTAATCTTTGCTTCCATAGCAACGGACTGCAAAGTTTGCATTTTATAGGCTCTCTTTGTTTCATCGACCAGATCTCTATCATCATCTCCCGATTCACGGGGTTTTATAGGGTTTGAAGTGCCTAAGGAACTTGGCTTTTGTTCTTCTGTCGGTTTCGCTGCCCCCTTCTCACTCTGTAATAATAGGGTGCTATACTATGAGACTCACTGGTAAAATCTTACAGAACATTACCATTAAACAAGATCTCAACTGATAATATTTGAAAGACTTCAAGAGAAGAATTATAAAAAACATAAACAAAATTCAAACTGCAATGTTGTATGTCTTACCTCTAAGGGAATTTTTCTCAGATGTATAACTAAGATAAATAAATAAAGACAAAGACTACATTAAAAAAATATTTCCTTAATAAAATTCGCATTGAAAGAAAAATTACCTTTTCTGAGAGGCTGTTTTTCGTCAAATCCAGAAAATCTTTTAAATTCTCCAATTTTTCGACATCTGAGAGCTCTTCTTGCGCGGTGACGTCTGCCAGGAAAGTCTTAAGTACTTCCGTCAAAAATATAGCTGCATTTCTCTCCATCCCTCGCTCACTCTTCATCAATTCTCCAACGAGACTTTTCAAAACCGTCGGACTGGTTGGATTTCCGGAGAAAGGATCCCAAAGCAATGTTACCTCCTTTTGCAAGTTTGTTAGTTTAAATTTTGAATAAGCTGTGATAAAACAATACTTCAATTCACCTAAGTATTTCTTCCCTTTCTTGCCGTCTCGCTCTTGTACGCATGCTTCATATTTATCCATCAGCAAGTTAACCAACTGTACAAAACTGAAAAGAAATGTGCTGTTGGCTTGTTGGGTATAGACGGCGTTCTTGAAACTTTCAATTGCGCTTCGATCCTGACCAAGATCTTGAAGACATTTTCCTCTTCTTTGATGTATATCCGGGCACTTCTCACCCTCCATGTGTTCCACGGCATATTTGAACTGAAAGAGAGATTTTCTCATCATCTTCTCATTGACGACTCGACGGTTAATATCTATGCCGAGAAAGTGGTACATCTCGGCCAGATTTGCAAAATCGGTTGGAGTCGGGTTAAGACAGACGGCCATTTTGATTTTCTTCTTTGCCTTTTGTGCCAGCGCCCAATTCAAAACTTCCCCTCTTCTGCCTTCGTTGCTTTTCTCGGCCTGATACCACTGGTTTTTGTACAACAGTCGCAGATTATCCCCCATGGACTTGAAGGCATACCAGTTGCTTTCCGATGAGTCCAATTCAATGGACTTTTTGTGAAGTTGTTCCGCTTTCTCTCTGCTTTTCTCGTCGCCCTTTCTCCACAGAAAGTAAGCATATCGGTTCAAAATGTCGGTTCTGTTTGGGGTAAGCTCATTCGCGAGTCTGTAACACTTTTCAGCGTGAGCAAGACATTCTTCTGGGGAAGCAAAATTTTCTTTATGAACACCGTGGATATGAAGCTCTTTCACAACTGCAGGAACTTTGATAGGGAGTGAACTGTGGTCCGAAGAACTTGGTTCGCCCATCGGGCTCGCTTCTTCTTTCAAATCTTTCAAAACATTCTCAGATAGTCTCCTTTCCCAGAAACTTTCCAAGAAATCCACGAAATGATTTTGTTCTGTCTCGTTGTCGGAGTGTCGTTGACTTTGTTGACTTTGACCTGCATCATGTGATCTTTGTGAAGGTTTTATGTCATACCTATATTTGTTTTTTCTTCCTTTGAGTAACGCAAAATATTTCCCTCCCAGAACCTTTCCCAGCTGCATCCACGCTTGAGCTTGATAATTGGTATCTGCGATACAAGTGACAGCAAAGAAGAATTTGACGATTAACGAAAACGCTATTTCATAATCTATCCCTAACTGAGATCGCGCAATTGGATGTCTACTTATATGTCCTAGATTGCAAGCGATGTCTTTGCACCATTCTAAAACTTCACTGTACTCAAAAGCCTCAAAGTTGTCATCCACAATCTTGAGAGCCGTCATGTAAAATTTTTGAGCGCGGATGTTGGCTTGTCCGCTCACGTCTTGTCTGGCCTCGACGAACACGTCGTAAGCCAGCATATAGCCTTGCTCGAACAGGCATCTTGCCCGGCTGGTCACCTTTGGCTTACACTCTTCGAGCCGTTTTGCGTACTTCCCTGCCTCGCTGGAAAACAAAACCTCGCTGAAGATGAACCCCAAATTGGCTAGGGCGTTGAGATTCTCGGCATCAATATCTAGGACCTCTTCAAATGTTTTCACGCTCTTTTCTATGGCGCCGTCCTGGTACTCGAATACCCCCTTTAAGTTCAGCATGACACTTCTGTGGGCCCCGGTCTGCAACAGCCGCATGTAGTTGTGGATGCTCTTCTTGTATTTCAAGTGTTGCTTGTTGGTCTTTGGGTTGACTTTGAGGTTCAGAATATGAAACCCTGCCAAGAAAAAATTATGAGATAAAACAATAGTTTGTTCAGTTCACAAATATAATCCCCAGACTTGTTATGTGACCTTGGGTTTTCTTTAAGAGACTTAAGGTAAAGCTGACACGAACCACGGAATTGCGGATTGCGTTTTGAGCTTTATAAAAAGTGTTATTTCATTAATATAAAAAGTTCCATTACAAGTAGTAATAAAGTAGCACAATACATAATACATAATATCCACGAGAAAATTATATGAATGATGAAAAAAAATAATAAGATGAAACAAACAGATAAATAGTAAGACTGCATTCCGAACTCAGAGATAGTTAACACTTTAATTCATTATGTAGTTTTGTGCGAGACTTTGTTTGTCCCATATTTAGTCCTATGTGCTTTTGTTTACAAATCATCAGATGACAGCTTTTAACCGTTTTAAATAGTGGTTGTTATATGTTATTGTTTAGCGCTTTTGGTATGGTAAAATGACATTACGAAGCTGATATTATTTTACATGACTGCACATCTTTACTAGTAAATAAGAATTCAGATTGTTATAAAAAATTACATAATGAGGAAGAATTAAAACCAGGTCGACCATGTTGAGATAAGAGATCATTATACAATATTCCTTATCCTATTAATATATATTTATATATCCTCCATAACTCACTGAATATATAATCACAAGTAGGATGTGCTTCTTTTTTTTTTAAGGATGTGCTTCATGGATGTCAATAAAAGCCAAATGGGTCCTGACTTTTAAAACTTTATAAATTATCTGCCCTGCATTTTAACGCAAATGTGTTAGAGAAGCTGGTCCAAATAAGTAATTGTGTTGAAGTGGTAATATACTATGAAGTGTCTTAGCATACGTCCTATTGAAATTACAGCCGATCCTGCCAGTAAATCGTTCTCTGATTATCGCTCGTTTTTTTTTTTTTTTTTCCTGATTGGAATCAATATTCAAGGCGCGATAGAAAAAGAAAAAAAAAACAATGAAAAAGAATGTATAGACAGAGAGACGGCGATGCATTTACAGGTAGGGCCAGGTATGTGGATTTAGAACTTATTGGTATAGCAAGTAATGGAAGTACGATCAAACGTTTAAGGACATCGGGAAATTCCGCTAATTGCGTCTTTTGGCGTTAACATCCCGGTTAGTGTCAAAGACGCAGAGAGCAGGAGTGGAAAATTTAACATGATACACACACTGTTTATTCAGTTAACAGTATAGGCTTCCGAATTCCTAAAAAAGAAAAAAAAACTGAACTAGTAGGATTGTCTCACTTTTGTTTGTGCAAATAACTGTTACAGAAAGGGACGCAACAAATGAACGCGGCTGAACTCAAGAAGTCACTTGTACAGAGTACGTGTTAACAGTGGAATGACCGATATTAAGAGATTTTAAAGACCAATGACCCTGGCGAAGGGGGGGGGTCCACACCGTATCTCTCTTTTCCCGCCATTGATAAACTTATAACAGGTTCGTAGGAAGGAAGAAGGTCGGAGGCGCGGTGGGGGGGGGGGGGGCATTTAAGAAGAGCTGCTCTTTTGGCCAGAATAAGTCCACTATAAATCAAAAATTGACCTAGAATCAATGCCATTTCTCAGGTTGAGTATGTAGATAACGAGGACAAAAAGTTAAGGTTCACACTTTCAGAAAAGACTCCTCCTCCCCCGAACATTGAAATTACTGGTTATAGGAATGTAAGGTTGTATTACCATTAGACGTACTTGTGTATTAACTCCATTTATAATCTGCACATATCGACTTATGAATAATTTGTTAGTTAGATGATTGTGCTTTTGGTATGGCGAAAGCGGGAGTCGTCAAATTCTAGCTGCGGTTTTGATGGTGCGAAAACACATAATCATTAAAGGTGGGGAAAGTAGAGCGCCTCTGAAGCGATATTTATTGACCATCATTAAATGACGTAAGCCCTCAATTTCAAGTCACTTACTTCAACTAAGCGTCATCATTAATCTTCAACATGTGAAGGATAACAGGAGCCTTAGCTTTGATCTTTGAAATACTTAACATCAAAGTTCAAAAGATAAGAATCCTGATTCAGCTAACTGTCTCAGGTTAACAGTTTCATTTTCGATGTGACCTAAATATAACGCAAATTGCTCTATATGGCGACTCACTATTCATATTGTATTAATTGCACGGATCAACTACATGTCTAGCCTGGAATTTATATTGCTGCTTGCGTTGCCCATGTGGTATTTACATTTGATGCTAACTTGGGCTTGTTCAGTGGTTTATTAGTCGTCCAGCCAATGTTTGTGAATTTCTTTCATTCTCTGCTGAAGTAGAAACAGTTCTTTGTAGGTGTACATTGTTCAGACTAGTAATTTATTCAATCTGAGTTTGTGGGCTTGAGCGCGCGACTCGTAATACGTGTCAATAGAAGTTTATAGCTCTTATCTAAAGTTAATCTCTTTTCTTATCTTATCTCCTTTAATTATAGTAAAGTCTCAATAAAGATACAAGTCTGTCACGCAAAGTTAGGTATAAAATCAGGCTGCGACCTGGCAATAAACGAGTTTGATTTTTGTAACTAAACAGTGGTGTTGCGTTACTCTTCTCTCCGGGCATAACCCAAGTCGGGAATCGCGTACCGTACCTAGAATCTTTCAACGGTGGATTAGAGCCCCTAGCGTCTAGATTATACCCGCGGTATATCGAAGAACTTAGTACAACATGTACCATGCTTTTGCTGTATAGACAGGCCCGTAACTTGGGGGGGGGGGGGGGCTGGGTTCCAAAGAACCCCCTACTTAGCTGGGAAAAGGTCCCCTCTAGAAAAAAAAATCTAGGTACGCGAAGGTAACATGGTAAAAGGACCACTTTTTCAGCAAAAGAACCCCCCCCCCCATTGAAATTGCATACAGATTGCACGTCTAGAAAAAAAATCTTATCTTTGTTTATTCCATTCATATTTGTGTTACACTTTGCGTGAATATAGCCTCCAGCGATCCATTAATGTTAACTACATGTGATACGTTACTAACCTGGTTCAATTTCTTCCATTTTGCAGTTTTACTTGGAAACAACTGGTAGATAAACCTCTTCTGGAAAGAAGAGTTAAAACGTACAAGAAAACGCAGAATTTTATTCACTGAACGATTATTCGACGTACGAGTGGTTCGTCGCTAAATGTACGATAAAATGTAGACATGCTATCTGGCACAACATGTTTCTCATAAACTCGCAAATGCACCAAATATGCATATTTACCATTACCCACGCGTGTGCATATTCCTTTGAAACCAATCACAATACTTAATACTTCCTCTAGCTTACCTTACTCGGTTTGGTTCTGTTATCTACCTGCATGCATAGCAGCTATGGAAGGCTTATATGGCATAAAGCAATGTCTGTTATTGGTCCACTTCCAATTGAAATAATCATCCAATAGATGGCGATACCAGTTGCTATTAAATTTTGTCCCTAATCTATGTAAAAAGTATAACTTTTCATAAATAAAAAATTCGAAAAATTTGACAAAGTGGACACCAGAAAACGAATAAAATTAATTGCAAAAAGTTTATAATCACAAAGTGTACATTTAAGCCGACATAATTTAATCTAATTTCGATCGGTTTTTGCAATGGGACATATAGCCAGTAAAGCCCTTATGTCCAAATGTGTCAGTGACACTAAAGCTGGGATGAAGTTGTGTCTGCAGATAAACACGCATTTATCTCCACATATTACATTAAGTGTTGTTTGTTTTTTAAGCCACCGATGACGTAGTGAAACATAATTTTTCATGCAGGCAGGCCTACATACAGAAAACGTGCTCCACGTTATTACCGTAGTACGTGCGTGTCAGACAGTCGACTGGACTGTAGCCGTAGCTGTAGAACGGAGCCAGTGTAGTGCAGGAATTCCTTGTCTGAGTGGTGCAAGTGCACATACCGTCAGACTAATATACGTAAAGCGTATATAGAGAGATATGTGCGCGCGTGTGTGTGTGTGTTTGTGTGTGTGTGTGTGTGTTTGAGAGAGAGAGAGTGAGAGAGAGAGGGATGTGTGTGTGTGTGTGTGTGTGTGTGTGTGTGTGTGAGAGAGAGAGAGAGAGAGAAAGAGAGAGGGGGGTAGGCATATGGCGGTATGGGGTTGGAGGGGAGATAAGTAGGGTTGACAAAGAAGGTGTATGTGTGTGTGAAAGAAATTTAGATAGAAAGACACGTACATTATACATGTACGTGTCAAACTTAAATTCAGACCCCATTACAGCTGCATAAAGGATCTGGTTTCAATAAAGTACTAATTTTACATTTTAACTTTCTCAACACTCATCTATTTACAATGGTCGGGTGAAGTGTGCGTACTTTGTTCGATAGCTGGCAAGCTAAAAGCTTTGCCGAGATAAAGCAGTAAAAGCACATTCTGAGACTGTTTATAATACCACCATTTACTGGTTACTCAACTGTTTATGAAAACACGAGAAAATGCCATCGAACAAAGATGTAGCGACACAACATGGCACAAGGGGCCATGCGAAAGAAAATTGGTTGAAAAACAGGCGCTGGAAGCATAAATATTAGCCGAGTTGATAGTATCCTATTTAAAGACAAATTTTCGATCGAATTTCACAGTTTTGTTATTTATGGGCAGTACTTGCCTGCGCATTCGAATTTAAAGAATAGGAATTACATACAGTATGTGTATAACCTGGGTACATGTTATCTATGACATCAAAGCGGTTTTGTGTCCCTTTCTTAAAACAAATGGGCTGAATCCACATAATCTAACTCCCCCCCCCCCACCCCAATATCCTCCAATATCCATCTATGATAAAACTGTTTATCTGTGATTCGAACTATACATACAGCAGTGTTTAAAAATTAGAGGAATCCATTTTTTTCTTTATTTTCTACTTTTCTCATCCCTAAACACCACCATATCCTTTCGGCATTGAAGACGTGGAAGACAGTAGAATTAGACACATGATATATGGGTTGTATACTCTGTCAACACTATGGGTTTCCGAAAGAGTTTTTCCGGATAAATAAAAAGGGATTGATTGAGGACGTTATGCTAGTACAAGTAACAAAAGAGGAAGATCGCGTTTAAATGAGACGAAAAATTCGCCGCGTGGAATAAAATAGAGATTTAATTGTTAAAAAAGTGAAATGAAAAACATTACTTTTAACTTCTTATTTGAGTCAGTTCTTACTTCATTTTTATAAATCTGTCATTATAATTTATTAACCTAGTCATTATAATTTCCGTTTTATCGGTATTTTATAATGTACATGTACAGGTATATGAATTGGCTAAATAGTAATTAATAATAATTAATATGATATAAACCTTATAAAAAAGTAAATGAGTGATTTGGAAGAACTCCACAGCAAATGGTACCATACGGAAGATAATAAATCACTGAATTTTAAGACGACAATATTTCTTAACTCTTACTTAATGAACAGTATTAAGTTTTTTTTACAAGACTAGTAAGCGCCTGTAGTATATATACGTATACATTTAAATAGTATCCCCAGAATAAGACTATATAGCAGCGTTGGTGACAGCAGTCCTGTTATTTAACTGTTTTACGCAATACATATTATTTGTCTTTTGACCCCTCCCCCCAGTATGAAAAAAAAACTTTTAAATTGATATAAAGCAGTTAAACAAATATTACACAAAATGTCTGCGTAACTAACGTGCTTCAATAATGTTCGCTATATTTGTGGAATGATACATATGTATGACCCGTTTTAAGCATGTGCTGCACTCGTCTCGTGATATCCTACTAGCGGGGGGTACATGTTACTGATCATTCATTCCATCAAGTTTGTATTGACAAGAACATTGGTTCATATATGTCTACCATAATTATGGTGAATAATATCAGTTTGGACTTAACTGATATACGGGTCATATGCAAGCTAAAACCGGGAAGTAAAAGACACGCACTGGATACGCTGTATACATTGGTTTGATGTAATGTAACACTACGTGAACGCTCTCCCGCAGAGTAAAATCAAGGAAAACTTATTGGCCTATAAAGTTTTAAGTTTTTTTGCTTCACCACACCCTACATAAACATTTACAAAGCTGAAGCACGCTAGACCACGTGATGTCTGCTGACCTTCAAATGACCTTTGTTGAATTTACAGTTAATTATCAATGTACCAATGGTCGCTTTTTCAAATGTAGGAAAGCTAAATTGCGTTGTAAAATGCATTCTGAATACTTTTCGACATAGTATCCTGCTTGGCAGCGCAAGGCAATGAGGGAGAAATGTATTTGATTGCAAAGGACAAAAATCATTAAATCAGCGAACACCAGATGGATATGTAGGCCTACACGTATATGTTTTACACGCCTTAATGGTAATTCAATGCTTGGTGTTACTTTTTAAACAACATTATTTATTGTCCGGTTGAATGGAAATAAAGCTAAATAACACCACTGTTTAAGCATAACAGCTTGTTAAATGTCGATTTTGATATTAGGCACACTTGTTTAAAGGCGTTTTCTTGTCAATACATCGGCCGGTGCCTAATATT